AATAAAATACAACAAAGTCCAACAGAGTGCTCGATGAATGAGCGTGCTAATAAACCAACTGCTTGGAGGGAAAAGAGGAGAAAAAAATGACTAAACGAGGTCCACCAAATCGTGGCGATATACCAGTGTTTACTATTTTAGTATGTTGTTATTCTAGGTCTAGGTACTTATATTTTTAATACATTTTGATGCAAATTCTGTTGTTTTAAAGTGTTTTCTTACTTCTGGTTTCTGCAGTGTAAATAATTATTATTATTGTGTTATTTGCGCTATTGCGTTCCATGATATAAAGAAATATAAGAATTTTATTTTTTAACCACTTAATCCATTTTATGAAAGAAAAATGGTACATTTAATACAAAACAAAAATGGACAATTTTAAGGCTACTTCTCTTGAACTTACGATCGAGATACTTTTGGAAAATACAAAGTTTTGCATTCTAATTTTCGTTCTAAAAGATATAATTGGTATCATTGAATAAATATTTCTTAAAAAGAACGAAAAGTTAGGCATCAAAACTTGTATTATTTAAATTCGTTCATAAGAAGTAGTTTATCTACCACAAGATGTACAGGGTCCGGCAATAGTACGTCGGGCATCTGTAGCTCCGAGAATAAAAACTTGAGAATTTTGTTTAAGTGCAAACCTAAAGTATGTATCAGAATGTATTTCAGGAAAATATTTTAACTTCTATAGGGTGGCTCAAAAAGTGTGAGTGGACCTGGATGATTTTTTTAATTGGTAAGGTAATAACACCCTGTATATTATTGCATTTTTGGATTCCTTTCAGATCACTTTACATAACCCTAAGATATGAATAAATATATTTCGATAGTTTTAGAGATATTAAAAAATAAATCAAAAATATATATTTTTCACCTCTTCTTAAAAAATTATTAAAAATTAAAAATACAGGAACTGTTCTGAAATCAAAACTATATTAGGTATTTACTTTAGATGGTCTGTTCTTACTTTGCTATAAATATGGTAATCGTAAATCATACAGGATGTTCAATATTCTACGGCAAACTTTCTAAAATATAAATATTTTTTCTTTGTTTTTTTAAATGGGACACACTGTATATTATTTTTTTATTAGATGGAGAGTTAAAAACTGAACATTTTTTGTATTTAGAGTATTTCAAACTTTTTAACGGTTTCGCAGATACACGCAGTATTAATTCATATTGCGTTTTCAATGGTAAAATACGAGAAAAAATCATTAGGTGGCTTTGATAAAAAATTTACTGTGGAAAATGCCATATGAAATATAAAACCGCAAATATCTGCGAAAGCGTTAAAAATTTTGAAATACTATAAACCAAAAATGTTTATTTTTAATTTTCCATCTATTGAAAAAAATAATATACAAGGTGTTCCATTTAAAAAGAAAAATTATTTTATATTTTAGAAAGTTTGGCGTAGAATTTTGAACATCCTGTATGATTTACGATTTTCATATTTATAGCAAAAGCAAAAACAGTACAGACCATCTAAAGTAAATATCTAATATAGTTTTGATTTCAGAACAGTTCTTGTATTTTTAATAATTTTCAAGGGCTGAAAAATATATATGTTTTTGTTATTTTTTAATATCTCTGAAACTATCGAAATATATTTATTCATATCTTATGTAAAATGATCTGAAAGGAATCCAAAAATGCAATAATACAGGGTATTCATTTAAAAATCATCCAGGTCACTCACACTTTTGAGCCACCCTATAGAAGTAAAATATTTTCCTGAAATACATCCTGGTACATACTTTAGGTTTGCACTTATACCAAATTCTTAAGTTTTTATTCTTGGAGCTACAGATGCCGACACTATTGCCGGACCCTGTATATACGAAGCAAAATACATACGTATACACGCGGTAGTCACAACTGCAATGTGTAAACATAATTTAAAGGTAATACACAAGCACTGTGTATCCTACGGCACACTGTGTATCTCTTACTTTGTGTATACGTAAATGATATACTGTGGCTACATTGTGAGGCGGACGTTTAACCTTTGTGCATACGTGTTAAACATAATGTGTAAACGTAGCATATTTACATCGGGGGAATTGTGTCACCCTGTGTCTACATCTAATAATGTAAACACATCGTAAATGTGATTTGATGTGCTGTATGGGGTCCTGGCTGCGTCAAGGCGGGGCTACTCTGTGCTGGGTGCCAGGCCACAGCAATGTGATATGCAACCAAGAAGCAGACAGACTCGCCAAAGAGGGGGCCAGGGGAGAGACCGTGGCAGATGACCCACCACTTGTGACGATCAATACCCTGAAGAAAGTTATAAAAACTACCATAAAGGCCAAGCAGCAAGAGACGTGGAAAAACCGTGAGGTCTGCGTTACAGATCGAAATTAAAACATAAAAACATGTACTCCATTGTGGAAAAAGAGAAAAAAAAACGTTTGCTGGTAACAGTTTTCATTGGTCTCCTGTTGGGTATGGGTAGTGGCTGTTATTACATTTATTCCTAAAACAAATCATCTTTGTAATGCGTATAATAAATTATTATAAAATCGCATAAGAAAAATATCTGTATTAGTACTTACCATATGTCCTTCCTTTTGCTTTTTTAATTATAGTACTATAAAAACTTGAAGAATGCTTTAATGCGAAAACTGCAGAACAAAATCTAAACAATAAAGTAAGGTTATGTTCTCATATTTGTCAGAATATCAAATAAATTATGGAAACTTTTCAAGCACAAAACGGGTACGAGATCTGTAAATGTGAGCTACATCTGTTTCTTAAAAGTTTCGAAAAATTTGTGACACTAAGATCTTTATTGTTACGTATAGCTTATGTAGCGAAACCATATTTTGATAAAATGTTTCGAAACAAAAAGCGATTTATGTTACAAAACATCTGTATAGAAAATGTGACGAAACTGTTTCGCAGCAGAGATTTTGTTTCGATTTTGTGCCTAAAAATGCTACTTAGGTACCTTCTTTTCAAAAATTAGTTTTTCTTTATTATTGATTATACTTAATTGAACTACCTAATCTCTTGTTCTATGAAGCTTTGTAATAAATCTTCCTGTTTATATTTGATCCCCTCACGTATAAAGGAATATCATTAGCAAAGACGACAGGAAGAAGCCTTTCTATGACAGGCACTATATAAATTCCGGCTATCTCAAATAGAACAAATTTAGTTAATATCTGGACCCCGAGCCAGGCCCTACAAACTTGCCATCATCGAGAATCCATTCAGCAGCGGCTAAAAGTTGCGTGACCTAATCTAACAGATTCCATTCGCTGTCGTCGACCCTTTGCCTTTAATTTTGCCGAGTAATCCATCTATTCTTGACCCTTATAAATAATACCTTAACCGCTGCCTAGTTGGATAGTGATCAAATTATGTTTTGATGTGATGATTTAAATACGAAATTGATAGGTTTTGTTGAAAACTGTTTGAATACAAAGATTAAGGAAGGAGCATATTAACAAACTTGAGTGCTGTTCTAATTTTATTTTTCCATAGCAACTGTTAAAATTGTCTTATATCTATCAAAAATAGTAGATAAAATAGTACTTTAACCGCAAAGGTAGATTAAATGATACTTTAACAGCTAGGATAGGTTAAAAACTTTATTTCTTCTCCCACATTTTTTAATTGCTTCCATTTTTGAAAATTTTTGTATTCCTTTTCATAAGTTATTCGGGATTTAAATGGAAGTAGTTTGGATATGGCGTTTGTCGCCTCAGCCTGAATATCTGTTGGTAATTTATTTATTTTGTTTTGAGCCATTTCTGGCTCCAATTCAATCAGCAATCGACACGAAAGAGAATTAAAAAATATTGACCATAGACTAATGTCACGTACTAGAGATAGATTGGACACTGATATAAAAAAAATAAGTCCTTCATTTAGAGCCACCTGGTGATCCGGAAGAAACTAATGGAGAATTTTGGCATGACACAATTTTAGCGTTCCCTTATTTATTAACGCTAACTAAAACGGTAACGTTATTAAAGCACAAAATGATTCCTTGTAAAATATAAAAAAATATAGACTTGTTTACTATATCTTATGTTTTATTAAATCATTAGAAGTGTAACATATTCAAAACTAAAAATAAAATTATGAATACATAGGTACATTTTAAACACCAACAATAGAGCACATAGCGCATATTTTTTTTGATTTAACAAATAAATTATAATATAGTAAAAATATTATAGTCTACTAATTTACTGTTACTAAAAATACTATTTTACCAACTATGTATTTACTTATTTATGATTAAACATTTTTTTAATTCGTTCATAAATATATTATTCCTAAGATGTTTAAAAAAATGCCTTTAATAAAAAAGTTTAGTATCTAACACGAAAACGGTGATCGACAGTAAATATCAAAATGCACAAACTAATAAAAACACAAACTATAAACACAAATCACCGAACTTTTCGGCAAATCAGGAATATCTGAATTAATAATTATTTAAAAATAATTTGACGGATCACCAACATTTTGACAACTAGATCAAAACTAGACCATAGATGATAGTAAATATAGAAGCTGTTATGTCATCTTCGTATATAAATTAGAAACCTGTACTTTCATGTGTTCTGCGCCGTCTGGCGATGCGGAAGAAACTAAATTTGTAGTCCCATAAAATTACAATTGAGTGTCTAGGGCCTGATACTGAGTCAAAACTGACAACTAAAGAGAGGGCTTTATTTATTTGTCAAATTACATAGAAACCAACGCCAACCCAGCACAATATTTTTTCTACTCGTAATAAATTCCTTGAAATAATAATTTCTGAATATTTTTTAATTCCATAAACTCACTATGGAAAAAAATATTGTTTTATACACGACGATAAAATTGCATTATCGTCCCCCGAAATTAATTCTTAATTAATCTTTTCGGTCGACAATAAAATACAATTTTATCGTCTTGTATAAAAAATAACTATTAACCACCTAATTTTTCCGTAATTTATCATAATATATTCTACCATTTCCTTCCAGATATTGGGAACGTTCGGACGGCAGGCTGATGGAAAGCAGCGACAAGTTCCGCATCGACAATTCCAAAGTGAAATATCGATACAAGTCGCGCATGCAGCTCAACATCTCCAGGGTCACCTACCACGACATGCAATACCTGTACTACTGTATCAGCAAGAACGAGCTGCAAATGACACGGGGCGAATTTAAGCTGTACGGTGAGTATAGCTGGCTTTGACGTGTTTGAAAGATTAAGGGGGTGTGTTTCTTTGAAGTTATCGTGCGAAATAGCTTAAGGAAATTGATGTTTATAGTAAATTTTATAAAATTTATATTTTAAGTAAGATTTTTTCGTATACCGGGTGCGTCTCAAAAGTGGCTCACCCCTATAATTTTTTTATTTTTTCAGATAAGAAAACGGGATTTGGTATGTTAGTTTATGACATAAATTAGGATTGATTGTCGGTATTCAATTGTTTTCGGTCACTTCCTGTTTCACCGGAACTGACTACAACTTTTGATTTTTAAATGGCACCCTCAGTATTTTTTTACTTTATTCGATAGAAAATGAGACTCTGAATCGAATCATATGTCAACTTTTAGCATATTCGCTCAAAAACACGTTGCATTTTAAATTTCAATCTAGAGTGCCATGTCTGTGTTAAAAACACTAATTTTTAATCGAGGAGCCTTGGAAAAGTATATTTGATCGTCTAATGTTTTTAGTGTCTTGTCCTGGTCGGTTCAAAGATGCCCAAATCGTATTTTTAATCATATCTCAATTTTTTCAAATGGAACGAGGGTGGCTTATTAGCATATTTGGACAAAGCATTATTCTACGAATACCACACACTTGGTATTTCGAGTCAAATTGTCGTTATGAACCGCATATTATAATTTCAAATAAACCATATGCGAAAATGTCAAAAGTTGGCATATGATATATCATTCTATTCAGAGTGTCATTTTCTATCGAATAAAATAAAAAATATCGAGGGTGCAATTTAAAAATCAAAAGTTGTAGTAATTTCCGGTGAAACCGGAAGTGACCGAAAACAATTGAATATGTCAATCAATCCTAATTTATGTCATATACTAACATATCAAATTTCGTTTTTTTATCTAAAAAAATAAAAAAGTTATAGGGGTCAAAAATCTACAAAAAAACTTATTGTTTGTATATACCACTGCGTGAAGAAACTACTTGTTTTTCTTCGTCAAAATATTCAGAACCGTCAACGGTTTACAGGGTGGTACGAACTGTATTCCGGAAACTTCGGCAGCATATTCTGCAAATGATGAAAATAAGTAAAGAAGTTCGTGTATAGAGATACACGGTGTAGAAGTTTCATTTTTTAATTTTTTCGATTTAATATTTTTTATTATTTGAAGGGTCGGCCGTAACAACGTTGTATATAACAAAAGAAGTGAATGGAATAAATCACGAAAAACGATAAGATGTCATTTAGGTGATGATAAAACTTCGTATTTAGTATAGTTTACTATATATACTATTTATAATTTTTAAAAATGCTTATTACGAAATATCCAACTATAGAGGTCATTATTGTGCAAAATGCATGTAACAACGTTGTATGTTCATGGCACTTACAACGTTGTTACACGTAAGCAATGTGTATTAAATTAGTTTCTGACTGACAAATATTGCTCTCCAGCATCTCTTGAACGTTTGCTCGCGTTTTGTTTCCAGTTCTCTATATTTAGTTTCTATATAATCGATATATTTTTGTAACGTTTTCTTGACACAATGCAAACGGCAGCTTTTCGTCTTTGCGAGCAGTCGTAGGTTCGTTTTTTATTTTTTTATTAGGTGTTAATGTATAATTATTCAATAAAACAATAATAATTGGGCGCCAGAACATTCACTCAGAAATAATAGTTAAATTTATTTATAATTAAAAAAATATTAGACAAGGACAGTAATTGATGGATGAAGTTAGGTTTTTAAAATGTATTAATACTTAAAAATAATAAGTAATGAAAATTTAAATGTATGACATAAAAAAAATAGTGTCACTTGTTCTGTTGATTAAGAATCATTGATATATTAATATTAAATTACGCAAAATAAAGTTAAATAAGTACCTCAAACTAACGCAGTTCATGAACCTTGTTGTATGCGCACATAATTCCGTAAATCAATCGAAAGTTAATTAAATAAATATGTCAAGTGACATCATCATAAAATACTTGACAAGCTATTAAAATATATAAAAATTTGTATATTTAAAATTAAGAAAACTATATTTTAATAATGAAATTCAAAAATGATATCTAATAATTACATAATTAATTATGTAATTCGTCAACAGTAAGTAAATAGATTTGAAATGAGTTAATAAAAAAATATGAAATCTGGCCTGATTATCCGGTGCAATTCCAGGCTTTAGCTCATTCTTCTGGATGGTGTGTGGACGTCAGGTGTGGGAGCTCATCCCAAACCAATCTACCACAGCCTCGAACAGCCCCTTACAATACCACCAGCCATGTGGAAATCAAACATCGATCATAGATACAGGCTCTCGTACCTCAAACCACCAATCACGACATATAACTCGCCATGTAACTGGACGGTAAAACCCAAGACACAGGACACAACTTATGCACAAAATGCATTTTAGAAATTTTAGAACTTACCTCACGATGCTGAGGGTTTACTCAAAAATTAAACTCATGACAGGACAACCAAAACCACGTTTAGAAAATCTGTAAAGAGATAAGGTTGAACCAAAGGAGTAAAAATATGATGAAGATCAAACTTACCACCAAAATACCCATGAAAACTTAAAATTGATTCCTTCCCCAAATGCCAGGAACCATTAGGAAATTAGATTCCAAAGGTTAATAGGGTAAAAAGGTTGAAACTTTTTCGGATGACTTCAGATAAGTATGTCGATGTTTAAGCCACGAAATCTGAATCAAAAATGGTGACTTCCGATAGTCAAAAAGATGCTCTAGTTCTGCGCCGACAAGGGCAAGTACGATCAACAGAGTGTCCGAAATTAGTCAGAACCAGGGCCATGTAAGTGAAATATTAAAAATGGTTCCAGCAAAAATTTCCCAATTATGACGGGTGATGGCGCTGATCGTCAAAATTTTTGTACAGGGATTTTGCTTACCGACAATACGACGTGAGCTACGACCGGACCAGGACCAATCAGAATGATCAGTCTTTCTTGGACATTTGCCGCGGAAGTGTTGTGTTAATTTCTGTTGTGATAAGTGTGGTTGTGTTTGCAGTTTGATTTTTCGGTTTTGATATTATGTTAAAATTAATTTTGAAGTATTGTAATCACCTGTTTTGATGTAATAGTACTTTTTTTAGTTCTATGATCTGATATGTTATGATTTGTTAATGTTTGTTTAACAATGTTATACCAAAGAGGTTATACTTAATATATCAATTTGCATAGCCTAACTTTTTTATCAATAAACTTTGTAGATTTTCAGATTATTTAATTCCTTTTGTTTCCGTTTGTCATTTTATTTTTAAGACATATTATGTGATTGTTTCATATAATATGTTTTAAAAATAAAATTGCAAATAGCGAATTAAAATAAAAAGTGTATTTTACAATTCCCCCCGGCCCCGCACCCTTTTGGCTAACCTGTAAATGTCAGCTTTGTCGAGAGATGGCGTTACGAAAATGGAACCGATTTATTACAAGGAACTTGGGCTTCTTTTTCGTTAGTATATTCTGTGGTCAGAACTAATTCGGTAGGGTGTATGTTGGGTTGCCAATAGTATCGTTTTATTAAAACGTTACATTTTTGTTTCGATATATACTACGATAATATATTCAAATATGCTTATAAAACGTTATTTTAAGGAAACATCACATTTCAGCAAAATGTTACATACAACGTTGTTACGGCCAACCCTTTATGTCGATTTTTCCAAATAATTTCTGAAGTCACGTCAATATATGGATGAAAATTGATGTCTAGAAGTTTTTTAACATGAGAAATTTGACTTTGATGTCAATATGACTCCTACTTGTAGAGGGCGCCACCTACATATTTTTTTAACTGGTCTGAAGAGTAATAACTGTTCGTTTATACCTGTAACTACCAAGTAAAAAAATATCCATTTACGAGGTTTTTTACGTAAAAAAAGGTCTTTTGGTAAAAATCGCTAGGAGTAATGCTTCTCGAGATATTTGGAATAGAAATTATCAATACCTGTCGTCATTGACATAAATTAAACATGTTGACTAAATAGTTATTAGACTGAAATCATAAATTTGAAATATTTTTGTGCTAGAAGTTCAACAGAAACTGTTTTATCATCATTTTTTCGAAGAAAAATGTATGCTCGTAGCGGTTTTTACCAAGAGGCATTTTTTCCGTAAAAAAACATAGAAATGTATATTTTTTCACTCAGTAGTTTAATACAGGTACGGACGAAAAGTTATTATTCTTCAAATCAGTTAAAAAATATGGTAGAGGTGGCCCTCTACAAGTAGGAGCCATATTGACATCAAAATCAAATTTTTTATGCCAAAAATCATCCAGACACAAATTTTCATCCAAATATTGACGTTACTTCAGAAATTATTTGAAAAAAATCGAAATAAATATGAACCTTCTACACCCTGTATCTCCGAAAGTAAGCATTTTAGAACATACATTTATACGAACTTTTTTACTTATTTTAATTTGCAGAACATACTGCCGAAATTTCCGAAATACAGTTTGGACCACCCTGTATATAAATTAAATTATTTCAAATAATGCGCTTTTAAACTAGGTTGATTTGTGTTATAAAGTTAGATAATGCATTTTTTACCTTATTTGTGAAAATAAGTATGGACTATAATATTTTAAAAGCTCATAAGGCCACTGTTACACTATCAAATTTCTTTGTCAAAGATCTTTTATAAAATCACACATATTACACTGTCAAAATCTTTGACAAAGAAATTTGACAGTGTAATAGCGGCCTCAAAAGGCCAACAAAATAAAAAATAATATACAGTGTGTCCCGTTAAAAAAAAGTCATATTAGTTATTTTAATAAAGCACGCTTTTAGATGTTTCAAAAAACTTTTAATAAGAGTAACTTTAACTCTACATATATGTTTCGGCTTGTTAGGCCTTTTTCAAGAGTTTTTTAAGAACTAATCGTCTAACTACACTGTAACTATATATATATTTGCTATGGGGGTGGGTTCAGAGAGTTTACAATAGGGGTAATAAAAATGTGTTTAGAAATCCTTGTTGGTCGTTAACATTATTTTCGTTTTTAACAGATTTTAGTATTTCTAACTGTTCAATGTGATTTAAACGTCTACCTTTTGTTTCTCTGTGTAGTAACTTAATTGAGTTTTCATTAATTTTGTGATTATTTACTATACAATGAGTTGCAAGACCAGAACTATGCTGGAGATTATTAATATACTTTACATGTTCTTTAATCCTTATATCTAAATTTCTACCTGTTTGGCCTATGTACACGGCATCACAGTATTGCAATCCACCCTATATACACCCGACTTATTTTTGACATTAGTTTTGTCTTTATTATTTAATAAAATTTGACCTAAATTTCTTTTATTTACGTTAATAGTTTTACATCCTATTTTATTGAGATTATTTGATATTTTGTTAGTTAAATTAGGAATGTAGTTTAAAGGTTGATAATTGTTATTGTCTTTAGAATTAGCGGATTAAAAATTTTTCATTAATATTTTGTTTTGTTTTTTCTTTAGCATATTATCAATAAGGGAACACTTATATCCATTGTTGATGGCGATCTGTTTAATAATATTTAACTCTTTTTTAAAATTCTCTGGGCTCAGTGGAAACATTACTAATCTATGAATTAAACTATGAAAGGGTGACATTTTGATTTGCCAGGATTGGTGTGATTGACTATGTATTACAGTGTCTGTGGTAGTGGGTTTTCTGTAAATATCAAATTGTAATCTATTAGACTGTTTTATAATTGTAACATGAAGAAAATTGATGGTATTAATACCTTTTTCAATAGTAAATTGTATTCTCGGGTTAATTGAATTTAATAATGTTAAACAAATCGCCATCAACAATGGATATAAGTGTTCCCTTATTGATAATATGCTAAAGAAAAAACAAAAGAGAATATTAATGAAAAATTTTTATTCCGCTAATTCTAAAGACAATAACAATTATCGACATTTAAACTACATTCCCAATTTAACTAACAAAATATCAAATAATCTCAATAAAATAGGATGTAAAACTATTAACGTCCAACCAACAAGGATTTCTAAACACATTTTTTATTACCCCTATTGTAAACTCTCTGAACCCACCCCCATAGCAAATATATATATATATATATATATATATATATATATATATATATATATATATATATATATATATATATATATATATATATATATATATATATAGTTACAGTGTAGTTAGACGATTAGTTCTTAAAAAACTCTTGAAAAAGGCCTAACAAGCCGAAACATATATGTAGAGTTAAAGTTACTCTTATTAAAAGTTTTTTGAAACATCTAAAAGCGTGCTTTATTAAAATACTAATATTTCAACGATGTTTCACAAGGAACCAACCACAGCTTCAGTACAATTTATAAAAAAGTCATATTCCGAAACTGGCAATTCTCAGCGAGAAACCAGTTTACACCACTGGATTCTACGTAAAAATCTCTACAGGGCTTATATTTTCCCTTTTCAATAAGTTATAAGATAACCAAGATAAAATTGGTGGTCGAAAAATGCAACATTTGTAAATTTGTCCTGTATTTCAAGAACTAAGTAGGCTAGCACAAATTAGCACAGTGATGTGAAAACTGCATCTTTGAATTTCTACTCAAAAACGTGAAACTCCATAAAATACACGAAAATGGGACACCCGGTACATGAATAATTATCTGTAGATCTTGTTGTTTTCAGAAATTGATCCTCGCGAACCTACTTCCGTCAGAAACACGTACAAACCGACCATATTCGGCATTCAGCCTCCGGACAGGGTCGCCATGGAGGACTTATGCGAGCCGATCCAGTGTCCCAAGTGCGACATTAAGGAGGTGAAATGTAGTCTCGGAGGGGTGTCCCTAATCGACCTAATAAGCAGATGGGAAGTGAGACCGTATGGAGATACGAAGTATCCCACTGTAAACTTGACCAGGGGAATAGGTAAGTGATGTTAATATATTTTACAAGATTTAACTGAGAATAGTTGAAGGTGTCAGTGTATTTTTCACTCACAGCAAAACAAATTATCGATCCAAAAAGTTTAGCAAATTATGTCAATTCATTAACATAATTTTTTTGACTTAGTTATTGTGTGAAATCGACATATTTTTTGGTATAAAACAATACTATTTTTGGATACAACTATAGTGTTTAGCATGGAAAATAAATACTTAATCACAACTTATTTTTAACCCAGCATTCAAAGCAAGGTTAGAAATTGTACGTTATCGGCTAAGTAAATTTTAATAAATACATATTCACAATTTTGAGCATCTTTTAATAATTTATTAAATAGCACAAACGTGTAGTTGGACACTATACAGGGTGGTCCGAACTGTATTCCGGAAACTTCGACAGCATATTCTGCAGATAAAAATAAGTAAAAATGTTCTTATAAATGTATATCCTAAAATGCTTAGTTTCGGAGATACAGGGTGTAGAAATTTCATTTTTATTTTGATTTTTTCCACATAATTTCTGAAGTATCGTCAATATTTGGAGGAAAATTGGTGTCTGGGAGTTTTTTGACATGAGAAATTTGATTTTGATGTCAATATGACTCATACTGCTAGAGGGCGCCACCTACACATTTTTTATCTGGTTTGAAAAGTAATAACTTTTCGTTCGTACCTGTATAAAACTAATCAGTAAAAAATATACATTTCCGACGTTTTTTGCGTAAAAAATGTCTCTTGGCAAAAATCGCTACGAGTAATGGTTCTCGAGATATTTGGAATCATATATATAATATTTGGAAAATTAAACATGTTGACTCTAAATAGTTATTAGACTGAAATCATAAATTTGAAGTGTTTTTGTGCCAAAAGTTCAACAGAAACTGTTTTATCATTATTTTTTCGAAAAAAAAAATTACCATTAATGTAAAAACAGTTTCAGGTTTATCATTATTTTTTCGAAAAAAAAAAATGATCATTAATTTAAAAACATAAAAAGTTCCCAAATTTATCATTTCAGTCAAGTAACTATCTATACAACATGTTTATTTTTTGTCAATAATGACATGTATTGACTATTTCCATTCTAATTATCTTGAGAACGCTTGCTCGTAGCAATTTTTACCAAGAGACATTTTTTTAAGTGGAAAATCACGAAAATGTATATTTTTTCACTCAGTAGTTTTATACAGGTACGGACGAAAAGTTATTACTCTTCAAAACAGTTAAGACACATGTAGGTGGCGCCACCTGCAAGTAAGAGTCATATTGATATCAAAATGAAATTTGTCATGTGAAAAAACTTCCAGACACCAATTTTCAGTTAAATATTCACGTTGCTTCAGTAATTATTTAGAAAAAATCGAAATAAAAATGAAACTTCTATACCCTGTATCTCCAAAATTAAGTATTTTAGGACATACATTTATACAAACTGTTTAACTTATTTTTATCTGCAAAATATGCTGCCGAAGTTTCCGGAATACAGTTCGGACCACCCTGTATATACACGTGCCTGTCAAAATTTTATTCGAATCACTAAAAGTACTTGGAAGAAAAGTATAATAAATCGAAAGATTATTAAGACTTTCAACACCCTGTAGCTACGAAACAAAGCAAAATCGGACCTATATTGATACGAAAAATAAATCTTATTTTTACCTGAGGAATCTCCTCACGAGAGATGGCACATTTTTTTCAAACACCCGGTATATTCATAATTATACACTCCCATGCAAAAAATTCCGGTGCTTTAAAAATTTGATCAGCTTCAATGATAGATATAATAATAACTTTTTATTTTTTTATCCTATTTTTATGATTAATTTTCCAATTTGTCAGATCGATTAAATGAAATTTATTTTTGTTATTTTAATAATTAACATTTTTTTGTTTGGGCGATATTATACATATTACCAAAATTATATTATTGGTCATAATTACACAAACCCTGTAAGATATTTGAGGTGGATATTTTTGCTTTACAGATTGTGTACTTTACGCTGTTGGAAAGCCAGTTTATCATCGATATTCCGATTACACTTACGGATGTTGGATGAAAGATCCTGCTTCAGAGTCAGACGGCGAGAAGACATGGGTTACAACTGAGAGCGATTCCTCTACGTTGTTTGAATTCAGGAATAAGACGATGTATCGGAAAAACCAATGGACAAAGTAAGATTGATGATAAATACAGAAGCTGGTAACAATTTTAATATTACATTGTAAGAAATGCATTTATCAAATATTTTTTGTGTATAATAGGTATCGGTAAATTTTCTTTAGTTTTTCTTATACAGGGTGTCCCAGAAATAAGTGCAAATATTTTAAGGGGTGGTAGATCCCGATAAAAGAAACATATTTTCTCTTTATCGCTTTCAGTAAGTTATTTTAAGAAAAAAATTTGAGAACTACTGGATCTTTTCTGGATTTTCTTTCTTGTAAATTTAATATAATGTAATGTTTTTAACTAAAAACTAAAAAAAATTCAAAAAATTTCAAATTTTTTTTTTCGCGAAAAAACTTCATAGGCGTGTTTCTGGGGTTGAACTATACTCCCAGTTAAAATACTTGTACTTATTTCTGGGACACCCTGTATAGTATTATACAGGGTCCGGCAATAGTGCGTCGGGCATCTCTAGCTCCTAGAATAAAAAACTTAAGAATTTTCTTTAAATGCAAACCTAAAGTATGTACCAGGATGTATTTCAGAAAAATATGTTAACTTCTATAGGGTGGCTCAAAAAAGTGTTATTGGATCTGGATGATTTTTTTTTAAATGGAACACCCTGTATATTCTTGCATTTTTGGCTTTCTTTCACGCTACTTTACATTATCCTAAGATATGATTCTCTGTGAGTATCTCGGAAACTACTGGAGATAGAGAGTCGGTTAAATGGGGAAAGAATTGCAGTTTTGTGGGGTCATAAATATTCGCCTTTCAGATTTTTGAAAAAGTTCATGGGTTACTAGATATTTCGAAAAAAACAAATTTCGGCTATTTTAAAAATTGTCTCTAATTCCATTATAAGCTATTTTAGACAAAAAGTTTTCAGATAAAAGTTGTAGATAATCACATCCTTAATGAGACCGTGTCCTCCGTTTTTTTTTTCTAAAGCCATTTTTGATATATGACACAAACATATGTTTTTTTAAATGGAAACCATAGTTGGCCATGACTTCATAAAAAGCGCCATTTTTTAAGCCTTTTAGCGATATAAGCTATAATATGTTTTCTTCGAAAAATTACTGATTTATAGCCAATTCTTATCATTTTTAAACAATTTCACTAAGTTAGCCATGGAAACAGGTTTAATTGTCTTTGCTCTCATAAATGTGAGGCTGTCACATCCAATCTTTGTAAATTAAAATAAACAAAAATGGTAAATATGAATTTTTCAAATGAAGAAAAGCGTGTAGGATTATTGGTTCAACCTTTCTTGGCCATACATTTTCGAGGATACGTTGACTGGTGATTTTTAGAGAACGGTTTTCAAGACATGTTAGAAAAGTTAAATTTAGTTATAGCCAATTCTTATCTCTCTTGACTAATTTCACTTAGATTGCATGGTATTCTTATTCTGTTATGAATTATAACTTATAAAAAGTCAGAATATATTACTAAACGGTTCCAGACAATTTATATTACACAAACTAAAACTTAAAAAAATAATATCACTACATACACTTTAAGTTATTGTAGAAAATGTTCAAAAAATCCGCCATTGTTTTGCGTCGCATCTTTTTAAAACTGAATTAATATTTATTCTCACAGAAGGACTGGTAATTAAACTTTTCTCGTACCGCCAATGCGAGTGCCTCTCTTAATTCATAAGTTCTTTTGTAAACCCTTATTTTTAACTATACCGCTTAAAAATTCACAAAATGGATAGGTCAGGTGATCGAGGAGGCCCATGCAATTAGTCCACCTTCTTCCTATCCCCTGCGTTTGTATAATTATGATATAAATAATTTTTAAAATTTTTTCATTATGAAGGGGTTGGGGTGGTGTGTCATACTGAACCACTCAAGTTGTTCCTAGCTCAACTGTTGGAACCACTCCCCATTGATGCGCGAGTATCTACACGCTTTTCTTCATTTGAAAAAATTCATATTTACAATTTTTTGTTTATTATAATTTACAAAGTTTGGATGTGACAGCTTAACATTTCTGAGATCAATCTATGATTGAACTTGTTTCCATGGCTAATTAAGTGAAATTGTTTAAAAATGATAAGAATTGGCTATAACTCAGTAATTTTTCGAAGAAAAGATACTATAGCTTTATATCACTAAAAAAAAAGCTTAAAAATGGCGCTTTTTATGAAGTCATGGCCAACTATAGTTTCCATTTAAAAACATATGTTTGTCTCATATATCAAAAAATGGCAGGCTTTTAGAAAAACGGAGAACACGGTCTCATTAAGGTTGTGATTATCTACAACTTTTATCTGAAAACTTTTGTCTAAAAATAGCTTATAATGGAATTAGAGACAATTTTTAAAATAGCCGAAATTTGTTTTTTTCGAAATATCTAGTAAGCCATGAACTTTTTCAAAAATCTGAAAGGCGAATATTTATGACCCCACAAAACTGCAATTCTTTCCCCATTTAACCGACTCTCTATCTCCAGTAGTTTCCGAGATACCCATAGAGAACATCGTAGGAAACTCATCCTGTATATTTAGATAGTATCAGAGATATTAATAAATAAATCAAAAATATGTATTTTTCAGCACTACTTAAAAAAAATATTAAAAATACAAGAACTGTTCGAAAATCGAAACTGACTAGGTATTTACTTCAGATGCTATAAATATGGTAATCGTAAATCATACAGGATGTTCAAAATTCTACACCAAACTTTCTAAAATATATATTTTTTTTAAATGGAACACCCTGTATATTATTTTTTTATTAGATGGAGATTTAAAAAATGAACAATTTTTGTATTTAAAGTATTCCAAAGTTTTTAATAGTTTCGGAGATACACGCAGTATTATTTCATATGGCGTTTTCAATGGTAAAATTCGAGAGAGAAATCATTGGGTGGCTTTGATAACAATTTACTGTGGAAAATGCCATGTGAAATATAAAATTCCGAATATCTTCGAAACCGTTAAAAATTTTGAAATACTCTAAATACAAAAAATGTTCATTCTTAAATTCTCCATCTATTTCATCATCCATTCCATTTAAAAAAAAAACGAAGAAAAAATATTTTTTATTTTAGAAAGTTTGGCGTAGAATTTCGAACATCCTGTATGATGTACGATTTCCATATTTATAGCTAAAAGAAAGACTGAGAAATATAAATTTTTTATTTAATATCTCTGAAATTATCAAAATATATTTACTAATATTTTAGGATTATGTAAAGTGATCTGAAGAGAAGCCAAAAATGCAATAATACACAGGGTGTCCCCTTTAAAAAAATCATCCCGATCCACTTACTTTTTTGAGCCACCCTATAGAAGTTAAAATACTTTCCTGAAATACATCCTTGTACATATTTTAGGTTTGCACTTAAAAAAAATCTTAAGTTTTTTATTCTAGGAGCTACAACTGCCCGACTCACTATTGCCGGACCCTGTATAGTGCCGTAACATCTGGGCCGCTCCAAGTGAAACTAGTATCGTCCGCAAAGAGGCAGATTTTACCGCTAATGTCTAGATTTGCAATGTCGTTGATAAACACCAGAAACAAAATAGGTTCCTCGTTCTCTTACGTGAGGTTTGTAAAAATTAGAAATTAAAGACAATGACCCGCAGATACTTTGTATCATACCGATGTCAAATAAAACAATTGCATATAAGTAAACAAGTTAAATCCAAAAAATATTAATGTCTTATACTTGTATTCATTTAAAACTTCCCAATATGGCGGACTTCAGTATGGGAGGCTTAAAAAACGAAAATCTCTAGACTGGAATCGACTGTACTTCAAATCGTTCAAATTGATAATCTGTGGTAGATCCAATTGAACTCTGACACTTGGCTGACATTGACTTTTACGGTTCCCTTTTCTAAATATTTTCATTATTTTTTGAGTTTTTGTTCACAAATTCTACTTGATTTTGTTCTTTTATTTAACCTGCAGTCTGCAGTACTAATTTTATAGTTATAAATAATATTTTCATCGATCAAGAACTGAAGGAATATGCTGGAAGATATTAAAAATGTGTATAACGCTTAAAAAACGTATTAGAAAGCGTTGACTCGTCCACAAATTCCGTGGAAAAAATAAATTAGTCCAGATGTTTGTAAAAGGTCTCTAATTATTTTGAGAAGTTTCCTCGTATCAGTAATTTTCAGGTTTGTAATATGTATATGATAATAAATAGATTAAAACTTATATTTCAGGAAACAGCGTGGGCATTACAGTTTGTTGTAAATCAGTTTTAAAATATAAAGAAGGTTTAAAACAGGTTTAAAAGTTGAGTTAGTAGAGAAGACCTAAATAAGGTAATGTTGGTAATGACCAAAGATCAAATAACACTTGAAATATATAATTTGTACAATAATTGTAAGTAGTTTTTATGAATCTGTTTGATATCTATTGCATTGTTTTTACATATTTCTTGAAATATATATTTTTTTACTTTATAGGATACACAAAGAATAATAAAAAATACAGTTACTCACTAAAAGCAGAAGGTTTGTAATAGATGTAGTTAGAATATCAAACACCAAACCAAACCAAAAATTATGTTTTATTTTACTGGTATTCCTCACATTTGAAAGGAAAGTAATTTCATAAATAAGCAGAAGGACATTGTATAGTACACCCTATATTAATAATTTTTTTATTCTATACTTGTTAGTTGACCATTACTTACTAGGTACAAAATTTAGTACTGATTCCAAACCTATAGTTGTGGTTGTGACATATTCTGATGTGTTTCTGGCAATTTAAAATAAGTTAATATTTAAACAAACATTTCTGGCTTTCCTGACAGGAGTATGAACACAAATTTAATAAAGGTATAATGTGGATAATGTTCTGATTATTACAGTTTGCATGGATGTTTTTGTATGTTGTTATTGTATAAAGTATATTTAATGAGTTTTTGAGTATTTCTTTTTTCCTTAGAGGATTGTGTTCTAATCTTTATATATAAATTTTCATAAATTATATCTACAAAATTTATTACCTTATAACTTTTTGCTAAAGACTTTGTAGTTGATACAGTTTAACAGTATATAAAAGAACTATTTAAATAAGATGTTTGAAAATATATATCTGTTTTTGCACACATCAATTCAATTTGTGATTAACTGTACTGAAATAAAAACAAATTAAGAGAAATCAGGTGATCTATAAACTGTTTTTTTTTTAATATGAACCATGTGATCTCTAAACTATAACATGAAACGCATCATCCTATTTCCAAGTCTTCTATTAATTTCACTTATTAAACAACTATAATTATTCAATAATCTTGATAATTCTATGAACTCTCAGATATCGTCAAAATATGAAAACAAAAATTCACTTCCTATAGTTCTTACGTCCCTTTAACTGAAATATAAGAAACAGGGGAGTTAATATTCTCACTGAGAAAGTTTATAAAATACCTTTAAGTAAAATCTCTTCGGATCTGCGGTAAAATACCTTTATTCTTATTAAATAATTTCAATAATCTATGTTTTTATTTATGACAACCTCCTAATAACCTAACTTTAACGTCAACTTGACAATCCTAAAAAATGTTATTGTTAACCAAAGAGTAAATCAATTTCTGAATTTGCTAACGCCACCTTATTTTTCATAAAAAAAAATTACCAATTTTCGTAACTAGGTCGGCCATATTGAGGAACTTTTAAAAGAATTGTACTATATTTTATTTATAGTTCATATTGTCTTATTTTATTATTTATATATTCAACATCTTTAGAATTTGAAGCAAATTTAAGAAATTACTTTTCGTTCTCTTTAACACATGCTATATAACTGTAAAACAAATAACTTTACGAACTTACAAAAACATGCCCAATCTGTGGAATAAATTCAGCACGTTCTTCAGTTTTTGTTTGCAGACCACGTTTAAAAAGTTTTTTTGCTCTCCCTAATGTTCTTAGAACGACCGTTTAAGTCAACATAATGAAATAGAGCAGAAATGGTGCAGAATGGAACGAGACAAAGTAAACGAGATTTTGAACAGACGCAAAGTATGCTTAATAATTTATGTACAGGACGTGAACCATTAAATATGTGAAAAATTCAGAATGTTTTTTTTACAAAAATATTGTGGAATATTGTGAGAAAAATTGTTCTCTTTGGCGTATATTTACCGAGTTTAATAAATAAAACAAAAATATTGGATTTTTATTTTTTTACTAGTGGAAAAAAGATATTTTATTTCACTAGTAGATAAAATATAACATTATGAATACTACATAGGCGTAGATAAAACTTCTAACAAAAATAAAAAGGTTTTTTGTTGCTTTCAATTTTTTGGTGCTCACTGTATATTTCATATTTTTTATATATTTTCATTGTAGCTTTATATAGGCTTGGTGCATTCTCCGCCGGTGCTGCCACCAACGGAGAATATCGTAAAAAACTAGCATATACAAATACAGGGGCTTAAATAGCGAGTATTCGAAAAATTTATTATTTAATTATTCTAAAAGTGTTTGGAAGTATAATTTGTAATTCTAAAAATAAAAAAGTAAATATTTTGATATCTTCAGAAGGTCTAACTATTAGGTATTATAGTTTATTATTCCAATTAAAAAACTTTTTAGATGAGTTTAACTACGATAGCGAGCATAGTTTTAATCACCGGTTTTGCTAGTGGGGCATAATTGGGACTATTTCGGATATAACGAATTTTTTTGAAGGTACATAATTGTATTTTTAGAAGATGTTCATAAAACATTTAATCACTAGTTGATTAAAAAACGTATACCATTAATATTGCAAATTATATTTTACCCTCTCATAGTATGTCTATTTAATTTTTTTAATTCGCATTTCGCAATTCGCGTGTATATGAACCTCCTTTACTTAAAAATATGTTTTTACAGGAATTACACGATGGATCACCCGTTCGGCGGCAACTCACACGTCGTCTACAACGGCTCGTTCTTCTACAACGTCAAAGACACAAGACGGATAATCAAGTACAACTTGGCCGCTGAGACTACAGTTTCGCTGGATTTGCCAGGTTCCATGAACCGCACCACCAAGCTTTATTCCGGCCAGTACAACTACGTGGACTTCAGCGTGGACGACAACGGGCTGTGGATCATTTTCGCTGTGCCGGATTCAAATAACACGGCTGTAATGAAGGTATGTTTAAACTCTATTCATACTTAACAGTCAAGACATAGTTTCACTCTGTCAAACAGTCTCAGTTACACGATAAACTTGTGAAAGAGATCCAAATTTAACTGGCAGACTCAGGGGTTTCAAGCTTTACTCAGACAGACTCAGACTTCTAGTTTTTTTCTCAATAATATTATACGATAGTTTTGTGATAAACATAAAAATAATATGAAATTAAGCTTGCGATATACAGGATGTCCCAATATTCCGTAGACGTACAAGTACTACGTATTTTTTGAATCAAAGTAAAGTCATTGGACACAATTTACCTCTATACAAAAGTGCTTCGTTTGTCCGCTAGAGGGCATCATAGTTTAAAAAAATAAACACACTTTTTCAGATAGTTTAAAACCCGTTACTCCGATTTGAATGAAATTTTGAGCTTCTATGTTTTGCTAAGTGTTTTAACATTTGACTTTCAGAAAAATCAAGAAAAGTACGGGAGTAAATATTAGGGGTTCCCACCCCTAACATAAATTTTAGTATAACTATTTTCCAACTCTACCGACCACAGATTTTCTTTTCGTAAAATGGTCCCTCTAGTATTTACTACAAATCACATCGCATAGTTTGTGAGAAAAAAATTTTTTGGAGAACTTATTTTTCCAAAGCACACCTACAAAATATACAGGAGTTCCAATATTCAGTGGACATCAAACAACTACGTATTTTTTGAATCAAAATAAGTTAATTGCACATAATTTACCTTTTTACAAAAGTGCTTCGTTTGTCCGATAGGGGAGTTAATCACCGCGACCTTACAGATCTATTGTGTCTGATACTAACATAAAATTATATATTTGTGCCAACTTGATTATTAGAGCTTAACATATTTTATGCGCCTCCATAGCATGTGACAAAAAAAATTTTTTGAAAGCCAGCTTTGAAAAATAATTTTTTTCCTTCATAAGTATGCACGGTGGCGTTTTTTTTACAAGAGGCAAAAAGTTGAGTTGGAAAATATTCATACTAAAATTTATGTAAGGGTGGGGTGGTTTTCACTCTACTCGTATGTTAAAGCACTTAGCAAAACATATACACCCAAATTCTCATTCAAATTGGAATAACGATTATTAAAATATCTGACAAAATGTGATTATTTTATCGAATACCAAGCACTTTTATACAGAGGTAAATGGTATCCAATGAACTTATTTTGATTTCAGAAATACGAAGTAGTTCTATATATCTATGTCTACGGAATATTGGGACAGCGTGTACTCTGTAGATTAAATTATTTAAAATATTTTTGAAATTCCCACTACAGTTATTGCCTGTATATTGTCATAACATATTTCAATAAACAAGTATCAAAGAGATATAAATACATAAAGAGTATTTCACCCTACAGCTTCTTAGAGAAGCATTCTAAAGAAATAAATGCCCCCTTCTAAAATGCCCTCATTTTATTTTGTAGGTCGACGTCGATCACATGATACCGCAATACATATGGAACATAAGCATTGATCACCATAAAGTGGGCGAAATGTTCATTGTGTGCGGCGTCCTTTATGCCGTGGACAGCGTCACGGAACGAACGAGCAAAATACGCTTCGCTCTGGATCTGTACAAAAACGTGCTGCTAGACGTCAGCCTGCAGTTCTCGAATCCTTTCAGGAAAACCACTATGCTCGGATACAATCACAAAAGCAAGGTAGGTACAGGGATTGCCTGTTGTTCGTCGGATTAAACGTGGTGGTAAATAGGATTAGTCCTAGAGTAACGAGAATTATAATGAAGTAGAGCTGTTTTTATTTGTCAAAATAGGTTTTAATATTAAAAAAGAATTAAGCGTGTATCGTATAATCGTAAATTATGCATCTGTTTTTATTAGAGGCTTGTACGAATCAAGAATAAATTATAACAATAAATAACTTGTATATAAAGAAATCAATAAAAGTTGTCGTGTATATTATCAAGTAGTAGTGTACATTATCAAGTAGGTACGAATATACTAAGGGTTAGTCTAGGGTCGAGAAGGATAGTCTTGGGTCGAAATTTTCGTATGTAAGAAGAGTACGTTGCGTTTATAATGTACTGAACAAAGAGAGAACAGTAAAAACGTTGCCAAACGTATGAAATAAACCGAGAAACTGTACACATTGCTAAGAGACGTGGAAGGGGATATAGCAGATGCGTCGCTGTCGACCGCCGACCCAATCAATACCATATCAGTACTTAAAATTCTAGGGAAGAGTGTACATCATGCGTTCAGCTTCACGATTTCATTGCGTCTCGTGATACTTTATTTGTTTATTTACTAACGTCGTTATAACGAGTCCTTGTAATTTTCCCTATAGCTTGTAAATTTTTAAGTGCAAATTAGAAACACATACACTTTTGATAAAAAATAAGTGGTATTGAGTTGGTGTTCGACAGTGGTCGCGCTATTAGAACTCAGAATTCAAAAATCAATATCTCGAAATCCATTATAGAAATAATTGATTGTAGTTTTTTTCAGAAACTTTCTTAATATTTCTGCTATATTTTCTTGACAGTATGTGAAAATCTTTATAAATAAAAAAATATCTTATTTAAACATCTTGTAAAAGACCCGAACTTCAAAATAAAAAAAAAGTTTTAATATCTAAAGTAGTTCTTGAGTTATCGCGTGTTATGTGGTTAAAAAGTTAAGTTTTTAAATCATCGCGATTACTGACGTTTTCTCGTTATAAAAAATGGACTCGCTAACGATATCCTTATAGTTCCATTTCAGATGCTTAGAAACATATCTAATGATTTTATCTAGATATCTTTTTGAAAATAAAAGTCTTTTTGAAATAAGCGGTTTGCGATCGTGATTTTATTTTACTTGATAGAGAAAGGCGTACCGGAAAAATGTGGCACCGCAACAGTACACCGTTGCATTTCTCTCACTCCGACTTAATAAGATCCCTATGCTATTTACTTCCACACGTGTAAATACCGACCGAAACGTAAGAGTTGCCAACACGATATAAATAAAATAATGCTATAATTTTTTATGTAATAAGCTTATATCTTTAAAAAATTATCATCTAAATATAATTGTTGACCCGATGAAGGGTAAAGGCCCAGAAACCGGTCGTGAGAGGTTGGTTGATTTTCCCGAAATGACAAATACAACGTGGACTTAGAATTTTTCATAGCAGTTAGCCTAATCTAACCTAACTGCAAACAAAAATGTTTTTTTTTAAAGTTTTTGATGTATTATATTTTGAATTGCGCGTACTTTAATGGTTGACAACGGCAGTTTTTTATTCTGCAAACCCGATTGGATTAAAATAAAAAAGTGCCGTTCTTGCCTATTAAAGTACATTAAATTCCAAGTATGATGTATTGCATAAGACCATTGATAAGTCATAGATGTTACCATGTAGAGCTGTGTTTATTTTCTTTTCCTCATGGATTAAATGTGTTTTTTCCTTGTCTTAAATTTATGAGCCCAATGTCTTGGATTAAAATTTCCCACAAGAAATTTGTATTACATTGTATTAAATAATATGCCCTAAAATACCATTTTTCTGTTTCTAGGAGTTGTACTCATGGGACAAAGGCAACCAGCTCACATATCCTGTGAGATATCACGAGATTGGTTACAATTACAATAATTCTGCCAAAGATGACAAGCAGATGGACACTGCGGATATCCCAGTTGCGGCCAAGCAAACTGGATATGAGATAATCCATTAATGATTAAGAAAAAATATGTAATATTGCAATATTTTGTACAATAAAATTAGTTAAGTACCTATCTGTGTAGTTATATTTTTATAATGCATGATATTATTATCCCACTCTGTCTAATACTTTTATATTATTATATTGTATTTTAGTTATTTGAATATATTTTTCCTTTAATTTATGTTAAGTATTTTAATTTTGTTTAGTTACTTTTTCTTTTTTTTTCTATTAACTTAAAGAAAAATAAGTGTAAGTGTGAATTGTTCTTGTGGTTATAACAAGGGGATACGTTGTAAAAGTCTGTAAGCTATTTTATAAGTTTTTACAGCTATTTTTTGATTTCATATATAAATATACAGTAAAATTTCCAAGAGAACGAAAATAGAAACAGAGATACCTAGGCAGAATTATTCCGCAAGAAAGAATAATTAACTCACATATTCACTCATTCAATGCCACAAAAATTGTAGCTATGCTACCTGCAAGAGGTGGAAATACACTACTCTGATTGCAGAACTTTTCAATTAAAAAATAATCAAGTTTTTAAATAAACGCTGAAATCGGCCTTTTATTTAAAAACTTGAAGCTCTTCTTGTTTTATAATGGCTTTTGGCAATTGCCAGCTCAGTTTGAGAGTAACCAACCGGTGTTGATTGACTCTAAACCATATCAAGGCCACTGGTTCTTATCTCATTAAATATAGAGTGGGAAAATTTTAATAAACATTTCCTAATGGAAATTAAAACTCATACAAAAAATGTAAAAAAACAAAATTTGGCACAAAAAATTTAGGGTAACGAATTTTATTACCCTAAACTGTATATTCAAAAAAATATCATAAGTACTTTATTTTTTATTAAAATAATGTTTAAAATATACAATAACGCAGTAAAATTAATTTAGAATTAATCACATATACAGCCGATGCTTATTTATAACTATTTTTGATGATTAATTAATTAAAATAATTTCCTCTTTCATAAAAGTTATTATAATAAACAACCCCTTAAAGCAAACAAATTTTACATAGATATATTATTTTAGGAACAATTCATTATAGTTTTAAACAAACTTTGAAGCGAATATATTCTACATTAAATTTTACGACATTATCAACATACAAAAATATAAAATAAATTCTATTACACACTCTCGATGATGCAGTCTTAGAAATAAGCTTGACAAAGGGAATAATCAAGCGCAAGTTAAATTCTACAAATAGTAATTAAGTCAGATTTTTTATATTTAGTGCTAGATAAATATTAAATTTGTTAGTCAAACTAAAACAATTTACAGAATATTTATTTTATGAAATGTTACAAAAAATATATGTCAGATAGGTAGGTACGAATAAAATAAGTAAGTGATTTGGAATCTAAATTTAATGCAGGTTGTTCAGCAATTCGCTCATTATTATTTAACAGTCATTAGTAGTGCAGCAACTGTACTAGCTATAGCTAAATCAAATCACATTGTAGCCTCATCTTTTGTGAGCATTTTGTTCTTTTAATCACGACATTATCTCTGTTTGTATTGGAGATACGCTACTTTAAAACGAACTTCTGGGAAAAATGCTTCGCAGACAGAAAGTGTTATGTGTAGATAACCTAGGCGACATAGGCGAAAACAGATTTATGAGTATTTGCAATATGACCACTTGACAATTGTACTGAATACTTTATAAAATCGTAGAATTACAGCGTTTCCGAATCAACATCTGCTACAAGCCGTGCGGAGAACTCAAGTCAGTGAGAGAACAATCCGACGAAGACTAAAAGAAAACAGCTTGTCTGCAAGGAGGCTTGCCACAGGACCCCAACTACTTCCAAGACATTGTTGAGCACGTCTTCAGTTTGCGCGTTTACATGTGAATTGGGATATTGAGCAATGGACTAAAGTCCTTTTCACGGATGAATCGCGGTTTGGCCTGCGTAACATTTTTTCCGAGACGTTCGTTTTAAAGCAGCGTATCTCCAATACAAACAGAGATAATGTCGTGATTAAAAGAACAAAATGCTCACAAAAGATGAGGCTACAATGTGATTTGATTTAGCTATAGCTAGTACAGTTGCTGCAACCTACAGGTTGTTACAAAGTTCGGGCAAAAAACTTCGCCTTATTGTTGTGCCCAGTATATGCTCAAAATAAATTCGGAATAAAAATTTCTGACGTAGCATCCGTTAAAAAGGAATTAATTTACAATTTAAAAAAAAATCATCAAAATGTAATGAGTAAAATCCAACTTTAAAATTCGGACTAGTTTTTAGTGACCGTTTTTTGGCCGGTGAGTGTATAAATAAAATTAACGAAATCGGAACGCGCTTACTAATTTGTGATTACTAATTTCAGAACGCACTGGATAATTTCAAAACAATATGAATTGATCCCAGACACACCTTAAAACCGATATTAAATAAATAATGATGGAGCTTTGAATAAAAAGATTAAGGCAGGAGCATATCAAAAATCTTAGATCGACCACGAAGGGCTCCTAAAATGGCCGACTAATTCCGGTTTATCAGTGCCGTTCTAATTTTATTCAAAACGTGTAAAAATATTATGTAGGGTAGACGTGAGGTAGACTCAATAATTTGTTGTTTTATTTTACGTTGTCAATAAATGTTGATAGTTATTAAAATTGTTATAACAATATACAATAATTCTAATAAAAACAGATAAGTTATAATAATTATTTATAACTTAATTAGACATTTATTTATTATTTTTAACTTAATTAAACACAAACATCCGATACGCTACTGAAGCAGGTAAGGCAAATTGACACCTAAATTCTTTAACATCTAATCTTTGACTTAGTTAATTTTAAGTGGATTTCATAAATGATCGGTTTGCTACACGTATGTATATTATACAGGGTTGTTCACCACATATGACACGGAGTATTGTAGCTAAACGATTAGATTTTTGAAAATTGTAAGTTTTGGGTTCGTTGAAGGACTATGGGAGCTACAATTTAAAAATATTTTTACAAAATACAGAGTGTTCCAAATAAATATAAAATATTAAAATTGTATTTTTTTAAATGGAACACCCTGTATATTATTGCATTTTTAGTTTCTACGATTAAAATAAAGGTAAATTTGATTAAGGTTTATTACACTTAAACCTTACCGTTTCTGAAATATTTTCACTTTTGTGAAATTGCAGTATAAATTTTAAGGCTTCATTTCTCCAAGGGTATTAAAGTTTTTAATACTAAATATTTACTGAAGTTTATTTATTGATCAGTTATTGTGTTGCAATAATAAAAATTATACTACCTTATACAGAGTGTCTAAAAATCTATTTTAAATAATTACTAGCTTTAAGCGGCAATAGGGTGGGTCATGGCAGATGCCGTGATATGCTTCATAAATGGGGAATTGAAGACTCACCAGCTTGCGACTGTGGCGCTCCACGACAAACGATGGAACACATTCTGACCGAATGTCCACCCAGAGCCTTTCCTGGGGGCATCCAGAACTTATTTTGCGCTACTTCTTCGGCAATTGACTGGATAAATGACCTCAATATAAATGTTTAATGTAAATTTTGTCCCTGACTACATATATGTTTTATATATACTTGTAATATTTTTAAGTCCTTATATTTCTCATGTATGTTTTCTTTTTTCTTTTACAACTATTTGTTTGTTTATATATGCTTATCTCTGTGTATGTTTTATAGAATGTATTCACATATCCTGTATTTGTGCTTCTCATACGAAATAAATAAATAAATAAAGCGGCAATAACTTGTTTAATTTAAATAGAACACCCCGTATATTTAATAAGAATCAGATGCACAATTTAATTGTCTATCAAATTGTATTATACCACTTTTTACCTGTCCCTTCAAGTTTTCGTAGAAAATGCATTTTCTTATAATTTAGACTTCATTTATCAATATACCCATGGAATATTGACATTTTAGATTGTTTTTAAAACAACAAATGTACAAAATGTACAGGCTAGTAATATTATCGTTTTTAGTAAAACGATAATATTACTAGCCCATTTGTATCTAAAAAAAGAAAACTATTTAAATCTTTATAAGAGTATACCATTAATTAAATATACCACCAGTATTTCCGCCCAAATACTAATTAATTACATACTTAATTGTGTTCGTTAATAAATTATTCTAAATAAATGTGGATTTGAATCAGAAATCAATATAATAATAAGTTATGAAAATGAACGTCTCTGTTGTTATAAATAAGCATTTGTCAAAAAATGAAATATTATTTTTAAGGTTATTAATTATAATTATTATTAATCAACGCAAACAGTCAATTAATGTAGTTTGAATACTGGAATCATATTAATTGGTCCTCTTTAACAAATATTTAAACAGTTTTTTTATTTTTTAATAAAATATATCGACAATATTAGTACAGTTGAGGGTTGGAACCTTGGTGGTTGGCTTTACCTTAGTGTTTTTATTTTGCAATATTAGTATCTGTAGTCTTTAAAAATTTGGTACATCGTTAAAAATAATCTAAAATGTCAGTATTCCATGGGTATATTGATAAATGAGTTCTAAATTACAAGAAAATGCATTTTCTACGGAAACTTGAAAAGACAGGTAAAAAATGGTATAATACAATTTGATAGACAATTAAATCGTGCATCTGATTCTCATAAAATATACAGGGTGTTTCATTTAAATTAAACAAGTTGTTGCCGTTTAAAGCTAATAATTATTTAAAATAAATATTTAGACACTCTGTATAAGGTACTAAAATTTTTATTATTGCAACACAATAACTGATCAATAAATAAACTTCAGTAAATATTTAGTATTAAAAACTTTGATACCCTCGGAGAAATGAAGCCTTAAAATTCATACTGCAATTTCACAAAATTGAAAACATTTCATAAACGGTAAGGTTTAAGTGTAATAAACCTTAATCAAATTTACCAGGGGTTCCATTTAAAAAAATACAACTTTGATATTTTTATTTATTTGAGAGACTTATTCTGTATCTTGTAAAAATATGTTTAAATTGTAGCTCTAATAGTCCTTCAACGAACCCAAAACTTACAATTTGTAAAAATCTAATCGTTTAGCTACAATATTCCGTGTCGTATGTGGTGAACAACCCTGTATAGTCAATTACTAGCCAAAATTTATTCCATTATTTTCTTCGATTTTTGACCGAGATCTACCGGACGCTACACATCCAAGTATTTTATAGACTTTTTCGATAAATCGTAATAGTGTCACTGTAAATTTCAGTTCGGCTACAATTTCCTTCTAGATTTACTACGTTTAAACAACCCATCAGTAGTAGAATAAATAATAAATAACATAAAATAAGCTTATTAAAAACTGGGAAATCCACAAAATTTCAAATGAAATTCAAATGTGTCAAATGAATCGTCAAACAGAACTGTCAAGGATCCCAACCTTCCTTAATATTTTTATTCAAAGTTATGTTTCCATCGACGCTGCACCACCCGGTATACCAATAATATCCATTCCACAGAATTTCCTAGATTTAAACAGAAACTCATTCGTCAATTACTAAAATATCGAGAACCAGTCTCACAATGTCTTATTCTATTTTAAAATGCTTTTTTTAAATATACAATTAAAACGTTCTCAATAATTATTATTACGATAAAAAATAATTCTACAAAAATTAAGTGAAAATCGCAAATCAGGCAAACTAAAATACGAATTAAACAGATTTAGAAACATATAATCAGTGTTAAATCGATATAAGTAGTTAAGTAGCATTAAATTATCTTAAAATTTCACAACCGTTTTGATGTGTATGAAAAAACATTATTTAGTCGTATGTTAAATGGTCGAAAGGCACTTGGTAAGGTAGAATTTCATTATTCCTGTTTTCTGCCGGCCATTATCGTTTGCCAGGTCGCCCTTTTTGTGCTGCTCCTCCTTTCGGTTTATTGAATTCGAAATTGGCGCATTTGGGAATGTGTCGGGCAGCTGCAGCTTCGTTGAACCTAAAATAAAACATTAAATATTGTCAAGACTTAAATATTGGCCAACTTATTAGTTCTTTAACTTATATCAATTTGGGAAAAAATCGTATTTCAGCAAGCCAATTTTGTTGCCAAAATTAACATATATAATATGTCATTCTATTCGGAGTGTCATTTTCTATCGAATAAAGTAAAAATATACCGGGGGTGTCATTTAAAAATCAAAAGTTATAGTAATTTCCGGTGAAACAGGAAGTGACCAAACACAATTGAATACGTCAATCAATTCTAATTTAAGTCATATATTAACATACTAAATATCGTTTTTTTTTGTCTAAGAAAATAAAAAAGTTAGAGGGGTGAGCCAATTTTGAGACGCACCCGGTATACAGAAAACTCTTTGATGACACACCCGCCGATGATTGCGACGAGCAGACGAATATAAAAGAGTACATATGCTGAAAACAGTGCGGTGAGCTTACTAGTCAATAGTCAGTAGACACCGACTAACCCAGTCGATAGTCAGTGAAAACGGCACAGCGAGCAGATAAGTATTTTGCATACTCTTTAGCTAGTCTTTAGGAAGATGGAAAACTAACCTCTGTAAAACCGTCTCAGACACTGGCTTTTGTCAAAGCCCTGAGACAAAACACTGAGTTATAACTGAAAAAAGAAGAATACAATAAATTTTTTTCGCTGTGATTAACTTCCTCCCCCTCACTTCATAGAATCTGCTATTTATTAGATAATATGTAATATAATATGTACAGGGTGGTCGAAATTGGTCTGTTTTAACAGAGAAAACCTATTTCCTGACTAGGTAGAGCGAAACCGACATAGATGTCATGGGCTCGATTTCTGAGACACGTTTAATGGCGTAAACCGCCTGTTGATATTTTCACTGCCAACTGAGATACTGGATCTTTTCTCGGGTCTTTTTGATTTTTTTACCATTTTGAAAAATGCCCATAACTTTTGCATTTCGCGGTATAATAAAATTCTGTAAAAACGTTCTTTTTTAAGTACAATCCAGTTGCGTAGTCAGTTTTTTTCTATACTTGCTCTTTTTATCAGAAATAATAAAAAATATAATTCTTTAAATGGAAATCATAGATGGCTATAAACTTAAAAAAATGCTGGCATTTAACCCTTTCCAACGATATAAAGTTATGTGTATTTATTTCTAAGAATGAGAGAAATATTACGTTTTTTATCTTTGTGTCGAAGCGGGCCTTGATTTTGTGTTGACCTAGTTGCCGTATTATTTTTTATCACAATTTAATATTCTATTCTATTATTTATCTGCATAATTAAAGACTTTTGAAAAGGTAAATCAACATTCTATATTAGTATCACCAATTACAATTAAAACTCCAGGGTTACAACCGAACTATTAAATGGAGAATTTAGAGAGAATTTGATTCGAACAACGGGCCCTATATCTTAGCCCCTTAGGTCCTGTGATTTAACTCGTTTCGACTTTTTTATGGGGGAAATTAAAAGATTTTATATAAAAGGTAAGAGCCATTGGAACGAGAGAAGAATTGCAGAAGGCTACTAGGCAAGCTTTTTGACTTATTACACCAGTTCGCCTAATAAACCATTGTAACTCTGTGCGCAAAAGATGTTTATTGTGTATTCAAAAAGAAGGTATTCAGTTTGAACATCTTTGATGATTTTTTTAGAAAACTCTATTGGTCACTCAAAAAATACGTTTTTTTAGTTTTTTTAGTTTCTGACAAAAAGAGCAAGCATAAAAAAATTCTGACTAAGCCACTGGATTGTGCTTAAAAAAGTGCCTTAATAACGTTTTTACATATTTTAATTATTCCGCGAAATAAACAAGTTATGGGCAATTTTCAAAATGGTAAAAAATTCAAAAAGACCCGAGAAAAGACCCCGTATCTCAGTTGGCAGTAAAAATATCATCATATCTAGTCAGGAAATAGGCTTTCTCTGTTAAAACAGACCAATTTCGACCACCCTGTACAGTTACTATTCTTTACTATACTGTATTATTCTAAAGCTCTGAGTATTATGGGTATTATCCTTAAGTGTATTAGTCCGAAATATTCAGTCGTTTTTAAGAAATACTGTTAACATGAATGAAATAAATAATGAAAGCTTACTTTCTGCCACAATGAGGACATTGCACATAATCTGGATTACTCGATGGAGGTGGTGGTGGTAAGTCTGCCAGCTTACCACCCTTGGCTACGTAAGCTTGAGCTTGTTTTGCCGCTCTAATGGCTGCTATAAATTCCTCGTGAGTTCTTCTCCAATCCTTTTTGTTAGCCGATGATTTTGCGGTCACCTGATAGAAAAAAATATCTTGTAGTACCATAATCGATATGTTAAACAATATATTTTGACTGGTTTGATCACACGAAATGAATTACATGATGGTTTGAAGTTTTTTTTTCGATTGTATGGGACTATTCCATTAAACGAGTTAATATTTGAGATTTATTTGCTTCACACTCACCTTATTTGGTCCCTTTTTACTACCTACAGGTTTCACGTATGGCTCCAACTCAGTTCCTTGCACTCTGTGTTTGGTGGCGTCGTATGCTTTTCTCTTCTTCTTGCCCGACTTTCCGCAAATATCTTCGTGAGTTCCTATACGATCTGTGGCAAACCTCCTACCGCAGTAACGACATTCCGCTAGATCGTCTCTGACCACTGGAGATTTGGGCGTTTGCCGTGCCGATGGTCTATTGTTGGTGGGTGCCCTGGATGCTGAGGATGGTGTCTGTAATTTGATAAGAAACCATGAGATAATTAATTCTGTTAAAAGAGATTTTAAAAAACACAATAAAAAATATACGATATAGTAATCGCATAAAAATGTCAGATGCACGTGATAAAACTTTGAGTCACAAGCGCTGGTGACAGCGCTTATGACCATTATTGTCACGTTTTTGTTCAAAATAGTTTATCAGAGAAGCTACAATCTCTTTGCTTCGACTTTTTAAATGTTTCGGCATATTTTCAACATAAAATTTCAAGAAATACAATACAAAAACTCGAAAAGTGTGTGCTTAAAAGTACAATTTTGAAAAAAAAAGACTATGAAAGTCGGCAAAAAACAAGAATTAATTACAAAGATTCAACAACAACAAGATATTATACAAAATAATGATTGACATTATGATAATTGTCAAATAATAAATGATCTGAACACGGCGATAATAAAATTCAGTTTAAACTAATGTTTGCAGCTTTAATCTAAATAAAATATCTATTATAATCATTTGCTCTATAAAGCGAAATGAAAAGCTGCTCGGTATCTTGAATTATACCACAAATTTAAAGATTTTTGGCCAAAATTTAATTTAGTCAGGTTTATAGGCTTTATTCTCTGATGACGTGCATCGGAAAATGTTTTGCGAATACTTTAGATAAGTTTTATGAGTTGGTTATTGGCCAATCTGACTGCGACCATTTCAGATTTTTTCAGATCTGCTTTCAGTTGTTAATATAACTTTATCCAGATAAGATAATAATGTGCACTTATCTCCAACTTTTCGACATAATGAATATTTACATAGTTGCAAAATAATAATCAATGTTTACCTAATTCTACCCCAATGCTGCAATATCTAACGACTATGTTATTGGTTCTTTATAGTATTATTGATTTATTAAAACAGCAGTATATCTGTAATTAATTATTAACAGATATACAAGATGAGTCTTAAATAAGTGCAAATATTATCAGGGCTGGTAGATCTCGATACAAGAAATATATTTTATTTATACCGTTTTTCAAATAAATCCAAAATAACCGGAATATTTTATTTTAATTATTTTTTTAAAAAAGATATATTTTGCCAATTAAAAATTAACAAACAACAGTTTGTTAATTTTTTCATTTTTTCTCGGGTCGAAATACCCAAGAAATATTTTCACTCATTTAAGAATCACCTTGCATAGAAAAGAATTGTCATGAATAAAACAGTTAAATCTAAAGTATTTTTTACTTTTTTTAATGATTATGAAATCATTTTGTATTTGGACCATTTTTGTTATTTATTATTGTGAATTCTCAGTATAGGACAGTGTTTTAAAGTTCATTTATTTTAATAAAAATATGAAAGTTAATAGGCCACTCGCCAAGTATTAAAAAATAGCTTATGGCGGGAGCAAATCCGGACAAGTTAGAATAAATTTTATTTTGTTTAGTTTAGTGTAAGGAACCACGTGTTAAATTTGCACCACCCCCAAAGCCCGGATTTGGTAGCCATCTTGGAAAAAGTGGCTAAAATTCGGTTTATTTTTCATTATTTGTCAACAACTCGATTTCTATCAACTTTAGTGCAAAAAATGTACAGACTAAAATTAAAGAAGAGGAAAAAGTCTATAAAAAACGGTCTATGTACTTTTTCCGTGTGACGACCCGTTTCCAAGTTATCTAGGTTTAAACACGCTAAATATATTAGAAGCAGTTATTATTTCCTCTATTCTAGGCAGTTTCTGTCTTTCCGAGAACCTTACTCTTTTTATTTCTCCACGCATTTAGTGGCTGCGACACCACATCCGCATTATACAGACAAGAAAAAATGAAATTCGTTAAAGTTTTACAGAAAGAAAAAGAATTATTACAGACAGCTGCACAAACTTTCAAAGACCCAAACGCATCCCCGCAGAAGGTATAGAAAAAGCTGGAGAACGATTTCTTCTACATCTATATGGATCCAAAAAATGCGACTCATTAGATAAGTACAGATACCAGTGTTTCGTAAAATCTATTACCAAAAGCTTACCAAACCTAGCATCATTACCACCGACCAAAGACGCAGCTCGCTTGCACTCCTTCCGTACGTACAGCAATGGTATGGGAATGAAAAATCACCTCTGGATTGGGGATGGAAAAATTCAAAGAATGGGTTAATGCCCATTGCTACTACCCAATATGCAGCTCCCCAAGAATTATTAAATCTGATTTCATGTAAATGTGCCAAAGGTTGTAATACATCTTGTAGCTGCCGCAAAGCAGGTTTGCGTTGCTCGGTAATGTGTGCACTTTGTCAGGGCAAATCATGTTCGAATAGTTTGGAGGTGGCAAAATTAGACGAAGATGAGGACGAGGACAATTTTCCTCTCGATAAAGATCAACGAAAAGAATATTCTGCACCTTATGAACCAGATCCGAAATATGATACAGATGTGGAAGACATTCAGAAAAATTATATTGAACAGCCAGTAACATCAAAAAAACGAAGGAACTCTGATGAACCTTCCACCTCAAAAGAAACCTAAGTTGACGACATGTGGATTAGGCCTATTGGAAATGGGGAGACCACTCAAAAAAAACGCGCCGAGTACCTACTTTACCTCAAGATAGCTCCTTGAGAGATAAGGCGGTTAAACTTGATTTTCCACCAGTCGCGCAGCAATAAAAATTTAGTCCGTTATTGCGGTCATAATGCAAATTGCGTTCTTCCATTATGACCGCGACAGCAGGCTATTGCCACAGAATATCTAGCTACGCAACAGAAAAATACTCGAAATGAAAGAGCTAAAATTGCACAAATAGAATACTAGATGGCGCGACAATGTCATAATCAGAATATAATTAGAAATTTTGAACTTTCGGTTTTGGATCGACGGCTCGTCGACTGCCTTGTAGCTCGGCTAAATATGTTGCCAGGTTGCCACAGTTGCCAGATTCAAAAAGACTTGAATTGGCATCCCTTTCTTTTTACTGTGTATAATGCAGTATGTGTTTCTTTCTATTCTTCTTTTCTTGTCAGATACACTTATATTAATTATTCCTTTGGCTATGAAAATAGTTTTAAGTATATTATTACAAAACATATACATTTTTAATATACACTACCTTATAATGTTAACTAAGAAAATACCTTTAATTACCTTTAAAATTAATAATATACAGGGCGATTGATAGTGATATTTATTAATGCTGGAACGTTAGTAATGAAATATAAGTTTAATAATAATGGAAATAATTTATTAAAATGCAGTACAAAAATGTTAACTGTTTAAAAAATACTATAATAACAAATTTCTTCCGTTTGCCACGTTATTTATATAGACCTAGGTAGATTTTAAAAAGTGACACAGGTACAATTAATAATATATTATTTCGGCATAAAAGTTGCTGTCACGACATCGAACAATAAATTAAAATTCGTAAAATAAATTAAAATTATTAATTAAACAAATCTTTATAAAGAAACGCAAGTATACCAAATTTGGGCCCAATCAAACACCAGGAAATGATATCATAATAGTGTACTATATTATGGTACCACTTGATATGCTTTAAGGTGCCATAATATTGCAATGTCACCGAAGATCCGTAGTATACCAAATTTAAAAACAATCGAACGCCATGAAATGGTATCGTAATATGGTACTATATTACGGTACCACTTTATATACATCATAGTACAATCACATTACAATGTAACCGAAGATACGTAGTATACCAAATTTAAGCCCAATCGAACGCCAGGAAATGGTATCGTAATATGGTACTATATTAAGGTACCACTTATATGCATCATAGTACCATCATATTACAATGTTACCGAAAATACGTAGTATCCCACGTTTAAGCCCAATCGAACGCCATGTACGTAATATAGTACTATATTATGGTACCAGTTGATATGCTTCATGGTACCATAATAATGCAATGTCATCAAAAATACGCAAGTATATATCAAATATGAGATCAATCGAACGCCAGGAAATTGTATTGAAATATGGTACTATATTAAGGTACCACTTTATATGCATCATAGTACCATCATATTACAATGTAACCGAAGATACGTAGTATACCAAGTTTAAGCTCTATTGCCGCCATGTACCTAATATTGCTATGTCATCAAATATGGTACTATAGAAGGTACCACTTTATATGCTCCATGGTACCATGATATTACAATGTCACTGAAGATATAGTTTATCAAGTTTAAGCCCAATCGAACGCCATGTATCGTAATATGGTACTATATTATAGTATCACTTGATATGCTTCATGGTACCATAATATTGTAATCACAGAATATCTAGCTACGATTCTGTGATTGTAATGTCATGAAAAATAGTATATATCAAATACCGTATGATACCGAAAAAAACGGCGTCTAGTTGGCTGGAAAAGGACGATCGATGACATTTCCCATATAAATTTATATATAAAATGACAGCGATATTCATTTCATAGCCATCGCTAACGCCGTTTTTTTCCTGATTATACGATATGAACTTGGTATGAACACAATCGAACGTCAGGAAGTGGTATCATAATAGTAGAACAATACTTATTATATTGTCGCCGAATTACAATGAAAATTCAGGATTCAATTATACAATCAAACGTCAGGAAGTGATTGTAATTTAGCTCATAAGATTTAATTCCAACTAACATGGCAAATTGAAAAAAAACAGCTCTGATCTATTTTAATATGTTTAAATGATGTAGCAAATTTGAAGACAGGCTTTATCAGGAAGTAGGTATTACGATATGAATTACACAATGGCAACACTGCACAAAATTCTTTTAAATTTTGTTTGTAGAAAACTGTTTTCTTTTAAATTTATTGCCCTCTATTATGTAGTAGCGAAACTACCGCATCAAAATATCTGATTTGGAGACAGGCTTTAAAAGCCTGTCTCCTTTTGCTACCTACAATTTTATACATGTAACGAGGCTTCTGTTGCGTAGCTAGATATTCTGTGCTATTGCCAACCAGTAGCAAACAAGTTTTTAGGCTTTATGTATCGGGGGTGCCGCTCAAGGTGGTGTGGAAACAAGTACAGTTAACCCCGGATATATTGAACACGTACATTATATGAAACTTTAATTTTGTTTTCGTAAAATTCGATACTTTGGGTAGTCGCACGAAAAAAAAACATACAACGTTTATTATAGAGTTTTTCCTCTTCTTTAGTTGTGGTCTCTACATATTTTGCACTAAAGTTGATAGAAATCGAGTTGTTGTGCAAATAATGAAAAATAAACCGAATTTTAGCCAATTTTTCCAAGTTGGCGGCCAAAACCGGGCTTTACGGGGACTGCAAATTTAATACGTGCTTCTCGACACCAAAATAAATAAAATAAAACTTATTCCAGCTTGTCCGGATTTGCTCCCGCCATCGATGCATTTACCGACTGGCCTATAATACAGTATAGTTAATTTATTTCGTTGACTATAAATAGAAAAATACTTTTGTAAAAGAACTAAAACTAAATTACTTATTAACCATAAAAAAATATATCTGAATGTAGAATTTACTTACCGGCTTGGAGCTCATGTTAGTTTCTGTTGATCTTGTCGATGAACTGGAGTGATTCGAATTCGATGAGGACGTTCGTTGTGGTGTGATTGGAGCTTTAGCTGTTGGTTTCTTAGGTGTAACCTGAAAATTTAATTTGGAATTATAGCAATAATTAAACGAAAGTACTTACGAATTATTATTTTTATGGACTTTGGTAATAGTAGTTATAAAACTGTTATAATTTTGAATGGAACTGTCAATAGAAATGACAGTGGCGTTTAATAAACAGGTGAAATCTGACAGATGGAGCACGTGTACAGGGTGGTGCATCGTCGTTGAAAATATACGAGATGGCATGCAAATTTTGAACTGTCCAGATATTGGCTCCCCTGTCAATTGTGTCCAACAAGGACACAATTTTACATTTTATTTTGGACAAGGCGATTTTAAGTAATTTAAGAAAAACTGTTCTATTTTTAAATTGAAACTGAAAAGGTAACAATGCAAAACCAGGCAACGTACCTTAAATTGTCATTCTACAATTTTGTCAATATGTCAAATTACATATACTTTTTCTTTTATTACATATACTTTCTGTTATATTTTATATCCATCAACTTTAATTTTAAACTCAGTTTTTATAAAATTCAGTATTTGGCTTATTATACAGGGTTGATTGAAAGGTTGTTTTTTTACCTTAAGTTTAAAACACCCTGTGCTATAATTTTGTTAGCAAATTTTTCCAAAACATTATTTTTCGATCAGAATCATGTCTCCAAAGCATTTTATCTTTTGAGTCATTTCAACACATGCCTTGGTTAATTTTTAAGAGCGAAATGAACTTGCCACCAACATTTTGCAATTTTTTCAACTGTAATTACTCTATGATGTTATTTTTTAATATCACGAGGTGGCTTATGTAACTATTGTCGTAATGTCATATCGACACTGATTATAACTCTATATTAAAATTTAAAAAACGATAACGGCTTGATATTAATAAATATAGTAACACTAACATAACTAAAAGGTTATTAAAAAAAATAACGTAAAGTATACTAACGAACAAATAGACTTGTAAAACATACTTTTATACTTTGTATTGCCTCTCCTGGCTGCTATAATTGTCGATAGATATCGGTTTATAAAGTGTTAATACTGTTAATGAAGCTGCAAATATATTGTGTTATGTTTTCCCATTCTTATTCAAGGACCAATTGAATATTCATAATTTCAGCTATCTTCGACAATATCAATGACTTTTGGACAATCTTCGACACTAAGATCCATATTCAATCGAACACAAAAATAATGACCAAAGCCACCTCGTCATTATGAAGAATTACATAAAAAATTAACGATAATTGAAAAAATTGTAAAATGTTTGTGGCAAGTTTATTGTGCCCTTAAAAATTAGCCAAGGCTTGTGTTGACATGAGTAAAAAAAGGCAAATATTCAGAAGACATGGTTCTGACCAAAAAATATGTTTTAGGAAAATTTTCTCACAAAATTATTGCACAGGGTGTTTTAAAGATAGGGTAAAAAACAACTCTTCAATTAACCGTGTATAATAAGTCAAATACTAAAGTTTATAATAAACTGAACTATAAAGCTGATATATTTATATACAGTTTGCTAAAAAAATCAAGGAAATAAGGCTTAAAATAAAAAAAATAACATTTAAAAAAACTAGACCAAAAAATGTTCCGTTTTTGCATCTGAGTGTAGTTTAATAATAATAAAAATAGGTGCAGTTTTTCTAGAATGGGCTTGTTCCACAATAAGTACAACTAAAAAATAACAGATCTACCAAAAATTAGAATTTTATTCGTACGTTTAGTACCTCAAAAACACGTACAAACATCTATTGTGCGAGAAAGGGGCGTGGCCAGCTGCTACGTCATAGCACCACAGGTCAACTGGCGACCGCGCTCCATACAATGCACAGGTCTGCTTTGCCCGATTACAGAAAGTGTGTTTTAAATTTATAGTATAACGTAACAGTACTAAAGTCTTTCTTTAACCCAATATTAGTGTAAACAAGACAAGGAAACGTTATGTAGTGCCAGAATGCACACATACGAATAAAAATTCCCCAGAAAAACTATTTATTTCTTTACCGACGAGCATGGCAGCATGCAATGCGAAGACATGATTTTGTCCCCTGACAGAGGCACCAGATTTTGTTGTGAAGATCACTTTAAATGTACATTAATACTTACAGCTAGTGTTTCCAAAACTTTTATATAGGTTGAAGAAGACAGAAAAACTACATATATGTATATTTATAAACTATGAAATCGGGAAGAATAAAATTAAAATCAGGTGTTATTCCTTACATTTTTGAGTGCCAAAAACGATCTTTATGCTTCAAATACTGTAAAGCCTCGAGGATTGGCGAAAAAAGAAAACAAGCAGCCATTATTAAGGAAATATTAAAAGACGCGAGGCAGGAGGCAAATGAAAACTTTCATTTCGGGGCCAATACAGTAGACAAGGATCTTAAAATGCATGATCAAGAGAAATCAAGAGGAGCGCATTTCAAACCATCAAATTTATGCAGCCACATAAAAATGCTACCGCGTGCTTGCACGTTCGGATGCGGCACAGTCATTACACTTTGCTTCTATTACACTTTTTCCACTAGTATTTATAATAATGCTTTAATTATATAAAAGCCAAAATGCCGCCACGTTTTCTATGGGTAAAAAACACAGTCATCACACTAATTTATACAGACTGGATGCTAGCAAGGCGACTTCAAGAATAAAGTGCCTGATAAATCTCACTATGTTGGAGCGAAACGTCGCATTAAAATTTTACAATTTGCGGTTAAAAAACCTCAGCCCAAAAAAAGTAAAAAAATATATGGATATAATAATGCATTGTACATTATAATTTTTGCATTAATTTTGTGTTTCGGTGTAATTTTGCCACTACTTGTTATAGTATTACTGTTGTTTTAACTGCACATATTATCCAATGGCATTATTACCATAGATTTTGTCTGCGCATCTGTAAGAAAAAAGTACATAGCTTACGTATCAGTTTTAGCTTAAAGTAGTGGGAATACTTTTCATATATTTTATTTTATTACGTCTCTTCGCGGACCAACCTCGAACTAGTACCCGTCAATCACATATCTTAAAATCCAGTATTTGTCAGCTGTATATGAAACCACTGATTTTTCTACAAGCGTGTTAAAATGTTTTTCGCCACACTCCGATATATAATAATATTACTTTTAACATACTAAACTTTAAAATTTACTTCAGTCATTAAAGGAAACAAAAAATATATATTTGAGGAAAGTCTCTTATTTACTTGTACAATTATTATGTATTAATTCAATATTAATTATATTCATATTCTAACTTAATTATATTATTAATATAAACAATAAACAATTGTTAATTCATTAATTAGCCGAAAAGCCTCAAAATGCTAATTAATTGTATTAATGTTACAAATAGAAGAAGATTGCATAGGTTAGTTAAGAAAATGCATAGGTTGAGATTTTCATATAGGGTAAATAACTCTGTTTTTACCCCACAGTCACTGCTTTCCGATACAGATATAGGTATTTAAGCAATAGTGAATATCTTAGAAGGAAAATTTTTTATAGAAATTAAAAGGTTTACTTAGGTACCTTTGTAACTTTATTTCTTTCTGAAAACTCAATTCAGTTTTTAAATAAAAATAATTCTATTATCATGAAAAATGTCCACTTCTGGGAGAATGCCCGAATCAGCTTTATTGAACCCTTCTCCACCCGAATGCATCTTGTGAAAATAAACCAACGAAATAGTCTAAATAACGATAAAATGACAAATCACATTAATTCAAATGAGTGTTTCCATTACGAACCTGTTGACGGCCGAAGTCGGGTGTAGTGGAACTACGTCACGAGGGGGCGTGGCCTCGTCTAGCCGTTACAAACTTTAAGCTCTCATATCTCGAAAACGGTAAAAGATTTCGTTTTGAAATTTTAATAGTGCACTTATTATAATAAGTAGTATCGAAAAACGTTTAAAAAACATACAAATAGGATATGATGGAACAAGCCTATTACTTAAAATCGACGATTTGTTGACCCCTCCGTCTGATATATAAGATTTATCAAAATTTTTGTCGAATTGGGTGGTGATCGAAGGCGCTGGAGGATTCAAAAGAATGGCTTACCACAGGGGAGTGTTTTGGCACCAACTCTTTTCAATATCTACACAAATGACCAATTGATAAGATTAAAAAGATAATTGAAAATTAAAAAGATAATTTAACATTACACCTGACCGCGCTAACCCAATAAAACGTCTCGAAGACTGTCACTAGCTTGTTCCATCTAAATAACAGGGAAGCTAACAGATCAATAAATATCAATTGGAACGACCAGCAACTGAAATTTTGCCCACGGCCAACTTATTTAGGTGTCACATTAGACCGGACCCTGTCATTTAAACATCATGTCGAGAAGACTAGGGCGAAAATTTCTACAAGGAACAACCTGTTGGGAAAGCTGGCAAGCTCCACCTGGGGGGCCAATCCGCACACACTAAGAACTACTGCTCTTGCCCTCTGCTATTCTGTTGCCGAATATGCCGCACCAGTTTGGGAACGCTCCTGCCATGCCAAAAAAATGCTGAACCAATCGTGCCGTCTAATCACCGGATGCCTAAAATCCACATCGGTCCAACAGCTACACCTCCTTAGCGGGATAGCTCCACCCCACATAAGAAGACAAATTTCCAGCATGAAAGAGAAACAGCAAGCTCTTTCCGATACCCGGAACCCGCTCTTCTGACAATACGCCGCTGGACCCAGGTTGAAATCTCGAAAAAGTTTTCTTTCTGCCGTCCAGCCAATTGATAGCAGCACGGCATCCGCAAAGAGACTAGAGTTGTGGTCAGCAACTTCAACAACTCCAAACGATTTTGCTCTAAGGCCAAAAGAGACCCTACCACCGGGTGCGGAACAGGCATGGCCGGTGTGGAGGAGTGTGAACCGTTTGCGTACTCAGGTTGGCAGATGCAAGACAAACATGAACCAGTGGGGCTACCTTGACGGACCTGTATCCTGTGAATGCGGAGAGGAACAAAATATAAGGCATCTTCTCGTATGTCCAAATCTCCCAAACATATGCAATCAGAGTAATCTGGCGGAGGGAAATACCAACGCTCTGGAGTGTACCAAGTACTGGATATCCTGTATATAACCGCTGTGTGCATATATATTTTTTGTAGTTTGTCTAATTTTGTACAAGTTTTGTTCCTATTTATGTTGATTGTTTGACTATGTTTTTTTTAAATGTATGATGTACCTTTTTTATTAATTTGGCCGTTTTGTATATTTTATATGTGTGTTTTTGTATTTCTTGGTTTTTTTCATTTACTGAGTTGGACACGAATAAATAACATAAAATCGGCTTAGTAACGAACAACTTTGCCCTAATTTAACCATCATAGTATCTCGAGATCCTACTGTTGGTGGTCGAATTGGAAAATCAGAAGTCTAACTAACCATAAATTATTTTTTATCTTTTTTATGCGTATATACCTGATCCAAATTCTATAATACCATAGTAAATAATCAGAAATATCTGTATAAATTAATAAGTAAAATCCCCTTCGACCCTTTAACGTACTCCAGGCATCGATCCAAGGGAAAATTAGTCGGCCTTGGCCTTGTCACCGCAAACGACCATACCGCTAATTAAATATATACTCATTCGGAGAAAACTTTACCGCCCGCCGCGCGACGGGTAAACCATCGCGTGATTATGAAAAGAAATAAACGTGAGTCCATGTTCGGTGCTGATAAGGTCGAAGTATATATGGTGCAGGGTCAAATGCCTCTTATGGTAAAGTACGAGAATGTAGTCGAAAATAAACATGGACAGCTGTATATTATAAACACGTATTGTAGTTTCTTTTTTCTTCTTGTTTGATTGATAGTTGTATGTAGCGGGTGGTCCACCGAGAATGTACGGTGGCTGTACAGGGTGTCCCCTTTTTTGTGTGTTTTACAGGGTTTCTCGTTTATAAGTGGAGGTGCAAAGATGGCGGTTTTCACATCACTATACTACTTTTTATGAAACTAAAGAAGCTATACACAGATTTGTTCTAGCCTCTTAGTTTTTGAAATACAGGGCGAAATTAAAAATGTTGCATTTTTCGACTCCCTTTGTAGCTCGAATAACTTATTACCCCATAGCGTCCCATAGATTTTTTCATGTAAAATTCAGTGGTGTAACTAGATTTTTGGTGACAGCCGTCATTCTTGAAATATGACACATGACCCAAATTAATGTTTTTTACAAATTAATGTTTGTTTACAGGGTGCTACTAATTCGAGGTACGAGCATTGGTATCTCGGTAACCGTAATAGATACGAAGATAGTTAAATTGGGGCAAAGTTGCCGCCTTGAGATGTGCACCAAGATGACATAAAAAAAGTTTTAAAAATTTCAAGGATTGCTGAGTTTTTTGGAAAAAGTGGATTTTTTGAAAACCAATTTTATTTTCTCCTATCGTTACTTTTTAGAAAATCAAAAAACTAATTGTACAGTTTCATAGCCATTTTATTAGGGCTATATGATAGTATTTTTAGATTTTCAAACTAGCTGATAACTTGTGATATAATATAAATAATAAAATAATTTCCCCGAAAGATGGATTGGAAATGGTAGAGCAGTGCTAATTGGAAATAGTAGAGCAGGTACTGGTTATCCAGGAACCGCTGGAGGTTCCTCGATCTGTCGCGGCAAAGGGGGGGACATTACTTGACGTCATTTGTAAAAGTGAAATACATCTCAACATTTACAATAAAGAGTACAAAATGCATTCGAAAGTATAATAGTACGAGAGCTAGCAACGTCGGAAAAACAAGTATTTTAAGACGTCTGGCTCTTTGATATATCTTTTATTATGCTCTCTGGAACAGCATGCGGCCCGTCTGGCTGCCTGCCGATACCCGTTGCGTTTACTACTGCGCATCCAAAGAAGATCCTCTATTTTTTACTTAGCGCTTTAAATTCTAGTATTGAATAAAAGTCGAGCAAGTCTCCATTAGTTCGGCGCGTAGAGCTTTCGCCTATGACGCGAAGGTCAGTGGTTCGATACCAAGAACAGTTAACCTAATAGGACTGCTCATTCAGCCAAAAGTGTCCGCCAGGTGCATGCGAAAACTACTCGCTTTGTGACGTCATTGTAGCCCTTGTCATAGTTATTAGTCCTTGTCCGGCAACCAATAATACACACACGTGCATTATTGGTTACCGAATGCAAAACGTTCATTATTTAGTTTATTTATTTAAACACCTTATATGTATGCAGTAAAGAAAATCAACTGTATAAATCGTATTAAATACTCGGATAATGCATTTTTAAGAACAGCAGGTCCCAGCATCACCTTTGGCAAGCATTCTTTTTAGAGGACTTCCATATTTTGCTTTAAAATAAATAATAAACAAAATCGTGGGCACTTAGTATGCACTTTGTCACAATCCACAACACAAAATGAACGTATTTATACACTCTATAGCTCTTTAAAGACACCTTTTTCACATTTAAAATTGACAAAATAATTAACTCAAAATTTCTCAGCTGTTATTTTTATAAGTTTACCATAGGCAACTCATAATACACACTATCATGAAGGCTTTGACAAGGACTACAATGACGTCACAACTGTCAGCTGAAGCGCGGGAAGAGGCGAACGTACGTCTTATGAGGATGAGCAATCCTATTAGTTTACCGTTCTTGGTTCGATACCGGCTGGGGGAGCAACTTTTTTATTTTTTTTTTCGTTTATATTCTGATAGTAAAGTATAAAATATTTGCTTTTTTATCACCAAAACGGATGGCGCTTATGGGTTTATGATCCGTAGTGGGTATAAGTAGAATTTGATACTTTCATTTGTTTTGAAGGATTATTGTGGCATTTGGACAGGAAAAAATAAAATTGGTTTTCAAAAAAATCCGGTATTTTCCAAAAAAACTCAGCAATTCTTGGAATTTTTAAAACCTTTTTGATGGCATCTTGGTGAACAAAGGGCCACTTTACCCAGATTTAATCATCTTCGTATCTATTACGATTTCCGACGTACCAATGCTCGTACCTGGAATTTGTAACACCCAAACTGAAATTAAGTGCACTAACATGATATTATGTTTAATTTACAACACTATGACATTGATCGTAAAAGAAAAACATTATTTTTGCTAATAGAACTTACTTTCGTTTCTTGTTTGTTCGGGGAATTGCGTTGAGTCACTCCATTAGTGATGGGTCTAGTTTCCGTCATCTGACTTGGCAATTTTCCGCCCACATTCGCTAACTTTCCTTTAAAATATAATGGCTTTTCTTCGTCAAAACCTGGAAAATATGAATTTATTTAAGGTGAGAAAAAACATCTTGTGTTACTTGTTTGCGTAGTTTTGTTTTAAATTAGAATTTTTAATAAAATATAATGTTATTAGTTTCTGTATTATATTCTAGATTCTTTTTATTAATCACTAATGAGTTCGTTATTTTTCTTCCAATATTATTGAAAATGTAGCACAGAAAGTAATTAACAGTTATTTATTATACAGGGTAAGTTATAAATAAGCAGGGCAATATTTTCAGGGCTGGTAGATTTCGATAAAAGAAACATATTTTCCCTTTAGCGTTTTTCAAATATGTCCCAAATATAACTCAGTTGGTTGAACTTTGAAAATTTAAAAAAATATTTTTTTGCTTAAGTTTTAAGAACCAATCGATTTTTTCTGGGTTTTCTTTCTTGTACCGGGTGTCCCACTATGAATAGCTCTCGGCTGTATCTCGGAAAGTATTAGCCGTAGGGTAATAGCTTATAGCTTCATAATCCTCAGTAAATTTTGAATATTTTTTGTCAGAGCCATTTTCCTCTATCTACCAAAATGAAGTGGTGGGGGAAGGTTAGATCTGTTTTTATTTAAATATTAATAATTCTGGACTGGATGATCGAAATCGAACAAATGAGGGCTCGTTTAAAAGAACGTTTCTTACTCTATATTGTACCATATAAACAATAATAATAAGCTTTTGAACGTAGACGCTAGGGGGCGTTGCCTTACAATTTAACAAACATTGCGCGTTTTTTCAAAAAAATTAAATGCAATAGTATATGTAATTTTATTTGATAGTAAAGAGTAGTAAAAGCTTCAAAAGTCAGCGAAAACCGCATCTTGATATCTTCTTTCAAACCGAAGATATTAGCAAAATTATAATAAATACCAAAATATAAGCCCTTAATTATCTTACTTTTACAACACGGTATCAGTAGCCCTCTTAATTATGCCCATTCTAAAAAAAAATAAGGTAGAAACAGTTAGTTTATTTTAAAATCGACGAAATACCAGAATACCATAATACCAGAGGTATTAATATCTAATAATTAAGATATTAATAACAGTGAACAAGAAACAATGATTCGGTGAAGTCATGGTAGGCTTTGGAAAAAAGTTGCTTTTGACGTAATAGTATAAACGTCAAATTGCTGTTAAATCAACATTTTGATAGTCTTATCAGCGTTTTTTATCTTTTAATTGCTTTTTCAAAATGCCTTTATTATTTGAAATAGTTGGAAGTTGTTGGCATTTTGAAAAAGCAATCAAAAGATAAAAAACGCTGATAAGACTACCAAAATGTTGATCTAATAACAATTTGACGTTTATACTATTACGTCAAAAGCAACTTTTTTCCAAAGCCTACCATGAGTTCATTTAATCATCGTTTCTTGTTCACTGTTATTAATATCTTAATTATTAGATTTCTGGTATTCTGGTATTTCGTCGATATTAAAATAAACTAACTGTTTCTATCTTATTTTTTTGTTAGAATAGGTATAATTAAGAGAGCTACTGATACCGTGTTGTAACAATAAGGTAATTAAGGGTTTCTTTTTTGGTATTTATTATAATTTTGCTAATATCTTCGGTTTGAAAGAAGATATCAAGATGCGGTTTTCGCTGACTTTTTAAGCTTTTTCCACTCTTTACTATCAGCTAAAATTACATATACTATTGCATTTATTTTTTTTGAAAAAACGCGCAATGTTTGTTAAATTGCAAGGCAACGCCCCCTAGCGTCTACGTTCAAAAGCTTATTATTATGTTTATATGGTACAATATAGAGTAAGAAACGCTCTTTTAAACGAGCCCTCGCTTGTTGGATTCCGATCATCCAGTCCAGAGTTATTAATATTTAAATAAAAACAGATCTAACCTTCCCCCACCACTTTATTTTGGTAGATAGGGGAAAATGGCTCTGACAAAAAATATTCAAAATTTACTGAAGATTATGAAGCTATTACTTATAGTACACCTGATCTAGGCAAAATTGTGTAAAAACTCCATTTTCTTGTTTTTTGTTACAGTTGCGCCTCCTAGCGGTCGTTCTACAAACTTAAAAATAATTTCCAGCAATTTTCCCATAGCCTCTTTAGTTATAAATATTTTTTTCCGTAGCCCCTACGGCTAATACTTTCCGAGATACAGCCGAGAGCTATTCATAGTGGGACACCCTGTACAGGATGACGATGACGCCTCTCATACGACGCAGAGGCTCCAGCGAAAACGACAGTTTGTATTGAAATGAAATTTTGTGAGCATATGTAGGTTAATTCAGAGCACTTTTTAAAAATATAGAGTTCTACAGGGTGTCCCCCAAAAAGTGACATATCAAAGTTGTGTTTTTTGTAATGGATATGTTAATTTTGATTTTCGGATTCTGGGAGAAAAATAAAGGTAAATTTCATTAGAGAAGTAAATGACCAATATGTAAGGTTTTTGACATATTAAACATTTTCTAAAAATAAAGAACAATTTTTAACTTACAATAAAAGCTATCTAAATTGAAATTTGCCCAGTATAGCCCAATATGTAGTTAAACTAACGATTGTACTTTAAAGCAAATTAAAACTTGACCCAAAAAATTATACAAGGTGAACCTTAATATTATATATAATATTGTACTTTAGTAACCTTTAAAAGCAAGTTATTCTTTTATTTTAAATAGAACACCCAGTATATTAATCCGATATTCAATGGGGAATTCCTGTCTCTTCAAAATACTATTCAGGTTGCCTACCCCTCCAATAAAGATTTTCCTAGATATTTTCATTTTTATGATTTAGTGTCAGAAGGTTTTTGATATTTGATAAAATCCATGTGGCTGTGATATGTCTGACGTTACTTCACACACAACACAACATAACTGTCTAATTAGTCCAACTTTAACAACTAGTTATCATTTTGTGTCAGTTATAACAAAAAAAAATCTCAGAAATTTGCCGAAAATGCAAACTTATCGTATATCAGAAAAAAATCATATGATTCAATTAGTTGGCGAATGCAGTGTGCATTCACCAATTAACAGAACACTTACTGCTTCTGATTTTATCTAGTCTGGATTTTTTATGGGGATTATGTTAAAGACAGTGTTTACAAAACTTGACCAACTATTGTCGACAACATGAGAGAAATAATTCTAGCTGCTTTTCGAAGTAGAACTCCATATATGCCTTTTAAAATGAAAAGATATTTTGAAAAGAGAACCAGCATGCAGTTAACAGGAAAGGAAACATTTTGAGCATTTGATTTCATTTAGCTAATTTTTGTTACATAATTATAGGTTTATATCTAATTATAATTCTGTAATTAAAATATCTAGGAGAATCTTTGTCAGATATTTTTTTAAGAAATGAAATAGACAAAATATTTAAGATATGATTGGTTTGAGACAAAACTACAAAAAAAGTACTAACCTATTTGTGGCATTTCCTCATTATCCAAATTCCCATTCAAATTCTGTCTATTCATCATATCGATCAGATTATTATGACCATCAACAGTGTCAAAAGATTCTTCAACAGTTTTACTCTCCTCATACGAACCATTTTTATAATTATTATTATACACTCTATGTACGCTTTCAGTCTGATTTACAGTCGGTTTTCCGTTTCGGATTTGGCTACTCACAGTTTTCTTAGTCGTACTCTTAACCACGGTCGTTCTGCTGGTACGATCCAAGTTGGTTCCTCGTGCTGGCGTTTTGTTTTTTAGTGGTTCTAAAGGGTAGCTTTTATCCACGCCTGCCTTCTGTCTGCGCTCGTCAAACATCTGTCGAACCTTGAAAATAGAAAATCAATATGAGAGAAGTTCTTGAGATATTTTAGTAAATTATTCACGATATTTCATAGTCAATAAAATATAATTCTCTTCATTAAGTATAAGTTCTCTTTATTAACTAATAATTTTGTATAAATTAGAGGTTGCAGAAGGGAATTTTAGTAAATAGAAAATATCTTATATTATTTTGTGTATGAGGATAAATAAATATTGTAAATAACGTTTTGACTATTATACAGGGTGTTTCCTACGATGTTCTCTATGAGTATCTCGGAAGTTACTGGAGATAGAGAGTCAGTTAAATGTGGAAAGAATTGCAGTTTTGTGGGGTCATAAATATGCGTCTTTCAGATTTTTGAAATAGTTCATGGCTTACTAGATATTTAAAAAAACAAATTTTGGTTATTTTAAAAATTGTCCCTAATTCCATTATAATCTATTTTAGACAAAAAGTTTTCAGATAAAAGTTGTAGATAATCACATCCCTAACGAGTTTGTGTTCTCCGATTTTTTTTAAAGCCTGTCATTTTTGACATATGACACAAACATATGTTTTTTTTTAATGAAAACCAATGAAAACCATAGTTGGCCATGCCGTCATAAAAAGCGCCATTTTTAAGGATTTCAGCGATATAAGCTTTAATAATTTTTTTTATTTAGTTTAAAATTTCACTTAGTTGGTATAGTATTCTTATTCTGTTATGATTTATAACTTATAAAAAGACAGAATATATTATTAAACGGTTCTTTACAATTTACATAACACAAACTAAAACTTAAAAAAAATAATATCACTATATACACTTTCAGTTATTTTAGAAAATGTTCAAAAAAGCCGCCATTATTTTGAGTACATAAATAGATCTTTTTAAAACTGAATATTGTAGAGATAACCCGATGTTAACCGGTGCAATGATGCCGCCTTTTCAATGTGATGTTGATCTAGCTCATTTGGGTACCGTCCGTGTAACTCCTTGGCTCCCCAAGTAGCTATTTTATTAGTGATTGATGTAGGAGTTGGATAAGCATCATATTGTTTACTACTGAGGTTCAAGGGGGTGTATTTGACATCAGCTGAAGACACCGTGACGTAAAGGTTGCTGTTCTTGGTATAAAAGTATTCTCTGAGGCTCTTTATTTGCTCCCGACAGACATTAACAACATCCAGTAAAACTCTACCTCCAAGATTTCGAGGAAGGGTCACCTGTTCCGTAGCGCTTCTTGGGTGGTGATTTCTAAATTTGGTTAAGGTTGTTCGTACCAGGCGATTTAGGGATTCCAAGTCCGTATGGGTCCATTTGACTACTCCAAAAGAATATGTAAGAACCGGTAGGGCATAAGTGTTTATTGCTTTAAAGAGGTTCTTAGAATTCATACCTGTCTTTAGAAGGGAGGTAAGTCGCAATCGGAAGGCGGTCGATAGGCGATTTTTAATAATTCCATGTTCTATTTTGTGTGTTTGTAGCATTCCAAGATATTTATACGGCTTAGTCGACATTGAGGAGATAATTGTTTTCTCATCTAGATTCAATTCTGGTGTTTCGCATAGTTTTCCTCTTATGATTGAAACAGTCTGACATTTGCTCGTACCAAATGTCATTCCAATATCTGCGCTGATTTTATGAACGGTACGCAAAAGATTTTCAAGTTGGTTTTTTGTTGCAGCATATATCTTCAAGTCATCCATGTATAGTAGATGTGTAATGAGATGACGTCTGTTTCTCGTTCGTAGTGAGAATCCATAACCTGTTTCATTGATTATCAGCGATAGTGGATTTAAGGCTAGACAAAACCAAAGGGCGCTAAAAGAATCCCCTTGGAATATCCCTCTACGAATTGGAATTTTTGGCGATGTTATGTCAAAGGGAGCAGACCTGAGGTTGAGGGAGGTCGTCCATGAAGGCATGATCTCTTTAAAGAATCGGCAGATTTTGGGGTCAACATTGCAGATTTCTAGAACTTGCAACAGCCAGCTGTGTGGTATGGAGTCGAACGCTTTCTGATAGTCAATATAGCCCATGAAGAGATTTCTTTTGTTATGTCTGGCTTGCTACAAAACCACCGAGTCCATTACAAGCTGTTCCTTAGAGCCCATTGCCCTGCTTTTGCAACCTTTTTGCTCTTCATGTAGGATGTTATTGGTGACCAGGTAGGTATATATTTTACTGCTAATGCAGCTTGAAAATATCCTATAAATTGATGGAAGGCAGGTGATGGGTCGATATTGGGAAGGATTATCTGGGTTTTCTGTTTTTGGTAGAAGGTGAGTAATTCCCTCCGTTAGAAAGACGGGCATTTTATTGGGGTCAATCAAAGTTTCAGTAAATTCTCTCGCTAGGTGGTTGTAAGTAGCGGAAAATTTCTTGAGCCAAAAGTTGTGAATTCCGTCACGCCCTGGACTTCTCCAATTAGGTAATTTTTTGATTGCACTTTCAACTTCGCGCAGGGTAATTATTGTGTCTTCCATTCTTACGTTCTGATGTTTTTCACGCTCCTGGTTTATCCATGCGGCATTTATTTGATGCTCTCCTTGTGACGACCAGATGTTGTTCCAGTATTGATTTAGTTGGTTTGAGTCTATGGCATTTGGAGCGCGGGCGAACTTTCGACACCAAATTGTGTTTGTACCTGGGGTAATCGAGGGGTCAAATTTTATTATAGGAAATTTCGACACCGCGCCCTAAAGCAGGTAGGTAGGTAATTAATTGGGTTTCCCCAATATTTATTGTCACTTCTGTACTTGTGACTAAATTTACACGAAAATTATTCAGTTGCAGTTTATTGTTTGACGTTGACTAGTGCACTTATAGATATTTTAAACATGAGTTTGATAAAAAGTTCCCGTGGTCGAGATTTATTAGTGGTGGAGAATCATTCGTTCTCAAAACAGAAAGTGTTAAAAAGCGGCGAGATATTTTGGCGCTGCATTCAAAGAAACACTAAGTGTTCCGCAAAAGTGTTTACAATAGGCTGTAATGACCTCACCATCACAAGACGTGATTTGGTACATAATCATGAAGCCGATCCGAAAAAGCTTCAAGTAAAGATGGTTACCAATGCATGTAAAAGAAAAGCCGAAGAGGATATATCAGAAAAGCCTGCAAAAATTACAAGAACTGCTGTTACTGAGTGTGATGCCAATTTGCTAACGGTTCCTGACATAGCTTGCATAAGAAAAAACATTTACAACTGTCGTCGTAAACTGTTACCAGGTCCGTTACCTAGAAGCATATCAGAAGTTCATAACGCGGTTAGTAATTATTCTCCTAAAACCTGTCGCAATGAAAGTTTTTTGTTTTTAAATCATCCTGAATTTAATGTAATTGTATTTTCATGCGAGACAAATATTCGTTTGTTGTGTAAACTACAAACTTTGTATATGGATGGTACATTTTCATACAGTACCAAATTTTTTCTCCAATTATTTACAATACATGGCTTTGAAAATGGACATTATGTACCTTTAGCATACTGTTTGTTAAAGGACAAATTGTCAATGACATACAAACATTTATTTTCTTTATTAAAGTCAAAGATTTTTGAAACATTTGAGTTATCATTAGAGCCAACTGAAATATTTGTGGACTTTGAAAAAGCAATTCACTGTGCTTTATTGTCTATGTGGCCAAATGTAAAAATTAGTGGATGCCGTTTTCACTTACATCAGAACTGGTTTAAAAAAATTCAATCTTTGGGTTTGGTACAAGAATATAAGGATACAAATTCAGAAATTGGAAAATGGTTAAGACATACGTTTGGTTTAACTTATTTAAATCCAGTAGATGTTGAAGATTGCTTTGTTTATGATCTTATGTCATATAAACCTAAAAACGCGTCACTTGATTTATATGCAGACTATTTACTGGAAAATTACATAATCGATAGCGCTCTATTTCCACCGCACATATGGTCTAATCAGAATCCGTCTATTGCGAGGACTACGAATGCCTGTGAATCCTTTCATTCAAGATTTAATACTTCTTTTTATTCAACGCATCCTTCTATTTTTATTTTTATTGAAAAGTTAAAAGAATTTCAAGTAGAGACTTATGTCAAAATAAATAGTTTAAAAATACCAGCAAAAGTCAAAGATAATACCGTTAAGGCTAAATTGGTATTTATGGAGAAAATGGTGGATAAACTACGATCCCAACAAATATGTAGGTTAGATTTTATAAAAGCTATGTCTTACCATTCCTATAATACCAAATAAATTGTATTGTATTCAGATATTATTAATAAGTATTGTATTCAGATATTATTAATTTTAAAAATATAAAATGTACATTATTTTTATTAAAATAAATATATAAATTAATTATGATATTTTATTTATTTCGCAGCTATATTTATTTGGTGTCGAATATACCTGTCAGATAAAAACGGAACTTGGGGCTGGTGTCGAAAATTGCCATTAAATTTTAGTCGCTACCTGCTTAGTGTCGAAATTTCCTCCGCCCCATTTGGATGTTGGGGGTTTTCTTTATTTGCCTTATTTCCAAGGTTGCGGTAGAAGCACCTCTCGTTTTTTTATTATTGTTGTTATTTTAATTATTTATTAATGTTGAAATTTTGATATATAATAATAAACATTTTAAAGATTATTCCTTATTTAAAATTACTAACTATTACAAAAACATGAAGATCTTACCTTTCCTCCACCAGTTGATCCTATACTCGTCGTACTAGAATTGCTGCCCGCGCTACCTCGACCTACCCTTTCAAAAGCCCTTTGTTGCTGACTCTCGTACAGCTTCAATAATTTCTCTTCCTTTTCCTGCATTTGCTTTTGCTGGAAGCGCGCCTAAAACAAACATCATATAATTATTAACACATAATACAAAAAATATATCAGTAGAGCACAGCTTACTCGTAACCAGCTAGTCATCTTTGTTTGTTTTTGAAACTCAGACTTAAGCAAAAAAAATATTTATGTACAGGTATTTTAAGGGTTTTGTATTTACTTCATTAAATATTCGTAAAGGTGCCCGGTGGCCTAGAGGTACAGGCTCTGTGAGTAGTTTGGAAAACTCTAGTGTTCTGTGAATATATACAGGGTGAGTCTTAAATAAGTGCAAATATTTTCAGGACTGGTAGATCTCGATAAAAGAACGAGGAAGAAGGATTTAAAAAAAATATATTTGCTTCAATTATTTTGAGAACCACTGAATTTTCTCTGGGTTTTCTTTCTTGTAAATTTAATCTACTACCTAAGAAATTTGCAAATTTTTTTCAAAAAATTCCAAATTTAATTTTCGTTTTTTCGCAAAAGAACCTCATAAATATATTTCTGAGGTCGAAATATAGTATCCCTAAAATATTTGCACATATTTAAGAAGATATTGTTGTTGTCATGTGTGATGTTTTCAAGATAAGTGTTTATAATTATTTATCTATGTCAGTGAGTTAAGGAGCTCTTAACTCACGCATTTTGAGTGAGTTAACGTAACTCACGCATTTTCATTACCGCGCTCCTTGTTTAGATGACTATACCAAAAAGAAAAAAATATTTTGTGAAACATTTATTTTGCACCAAATACCTACTAAATACAAATAAACTGTTCTATTGATAATAATTATAAAAACATGAAAACTTAGTTATTATAAATGTTAACGATACAGTTTGAACAATCTTTCAATCTTCTTCTTTACCTCTTCATTCGATATATTCAAATTCTGATTCTGATGACTAGATTTTTTGATTTTTTAAACTAGCGACATCAATATTATTTACTGTCATATTGACATTACCATGCAAGGTGTTATTTGAACAAAGGTATTAAGGTAATTGATTTTTAGGATAGGTATATAGTTAAGTACAATAATTTTTAAAATTCATTGTGTGTTTTTGTAGTTAGACGTAGATAAAATATTGTACAATACACGCGAGTTAACTCCATTAAGATACTCGTAAATACCTATTATTTCTACAATGTTTTTCTGCATTAAAAATCAAGTTTGTATATTGAATCCTAAATCCTAAACAAATAATAAACCTCTTTACTAATTTCTTAACTTGAATAGATACTTAAAATTATATATGCTGTTACTTTCACATAAAATTGATTTAAATAACTTGTAAATCATTTTGTTCAAACGACTTTACCACAATGACTAAACTAGGAAATTTTAGTGCCAGCTAAATTCTGCAAATATCAGGTCGATATTGTTCTACAATAAGGAATATTTAATATTTTATTACTTTAGTTCAATAATTCTGCTACAGTCAAATTGAATAAAGAAAAGTTTCTGGCTGTATAGGCACAAAATAAATTCAAAGTTACTAAAAACGTGAGATAAAAATTACCTAATTATATAAAGAAATACTGTATTTTGTTCTTAACGTAACTTCTATTAATGACAGAATAGTAAGACATTTAATATATTTTATTACGTCTTACACAAAAATACGTACTTGAATGATATATAATGAAATAATACGTCAAATTAGATATTCAAACTTTTAAAATTGCCTGTGCTGATATACCACCCACACCAATCGATATTGTTACATTTAGTGTTGCAAGCAGGAGTTGTACCAATTATATAGGGTGTCCCATTATTCAGTGGACTTTAAACTACATACTATAGAGAAATTAAAATAACTTTGGTTGTACATCATAATACGACCACCAGCAAACTCCATAAGACGACGCATGGTGTCATTCATGACGTGCACCCAAAGTTGTTTTAATTTCCCTATACGTATTTTTCAAATCAAAATAAGTTATTTAAACACAATTTATCTTTATAAAAATGTGCTTCTTTTACCCGTTAAGCCCCATACTCACACTTCGCTAGTTCACTTCTTTCCTTCGTCGCGTCCCTTCGTCCAAAAATCTTATATTTACTATAGGAAATGTCGATTTTATGCGATTTTATGTCGATTTTATGTGTTCCTTCGTTCCTTCGTCAAAACGCTCCTTCGTCCGTTTACTTCCTCGAAACGCTCCTTCACCGTATTGTCGGTTTTTGGACGAAGTAGCAAAGGAATTATCACGAACAAAAAAAAATATTAAAATATATAAAATATATAAATCGATCTTGGACTTCATTTGTAGTTGATTTCTTGATTTGGCAGTACGTCTGTACAGGGTGTCCCATTTTCGAGTGTTTTGCAGGGTTTCTCTTTTATGAGTCGAGATACAAAGATGCGGTTTTCACATTACGCTGTTACTTTTTTATGAAACTAAAGATGCTACATACAGATATGTCCTAGCTCTCTTACTTCCTAAAATACAGGGCGAATCTGAAATTATTGCATTTTTCGATCCCCTTTGTATCATAACTGATCAAAAATGTGAAAACGGTCTCCCGTACAGTTTTTCACGTAGAATGCAGTGACGTAACTATTTCTTCGTTGGAATCTGTCTTTTTTTAAATTGACTAAATTTTTTTTTTAAATGCGATATTTTGTATATTATTTTATTTTCAACTACGAATGAAGTCGTAGTTGATTTCTTGATTTGGCAGTACGTCTGTACAGGGTGTCCCATTTTCGAGTGTTTTGCAGGGTTTCTCTTTATGAGTCGAGATACAAAGATGCGGTTTTCACATTACGCTGTTACTTTTTTATGAAAATAAAGATGCTACATACAGATATGTCCTAGCTCTCTTGCTTCCTAAAATACAGGGCGAATCTGAAATTATTGCATTTTTCGATCCCCTTTGTATCATAACTGATCAAAAATGTCAAAACGGTCTCCCATACAGTTTTTCACGTAGAATGCAGTGACGTAACTATTTCTTCGTTGGAATCTGTCTTTTTTTAAATTGACTAAAATTTTTTTTTAAATGCGATATTTTGTATATTATTTTATTTTCAACTACGAATGAAGTCGTAGTTGATTTCTTGATTTGGCAGTACGTCTGTACAGGGTGTCCCATTTTCGAGTGTTTTGCAGGGTTTCTCTTTTATGAGTCGAGATACAAAGATGCGGTTTTCACATTACGCTGTTACTTTTTTATGAAAATAAAGATGCTACATACAGATATGTCCTAGCTCTCTTGCTTCCTAAAATACAGGGCGAATCTGAAATTATTGCATTTTTCGATCCCCTTTGTATCATAACTGATCAAAAATGTGAAAACGGTCTCCCGTACAGTTTTTCACGTAGAATGAGCAGTGACGTAACTATTTCTTCGTTGGAATCTGTCTTTTTTTAAATTGACTAAAACTTTTTTTTAAATGCGATATTTTGTATATTATTTTATTTTCCTTGTTACGGACTTTCTAAAATACTTATTTTCATAAACGGGGTAAAAATGCATTATTTAACTTTATTACCATAGTAGGTAATAAAAACAATCCACTAATTTATTCGGCGTAAAATGTTGGTTATTGGCATGTTATTTAAAAGCAGCACAAGTTCAGTTTCCGTGTAGTTTATCAAAATATCACGATGCAAAGCATAATTATCTGGTAAAATTAAGTTAAATAAAATAAGAGCCGTTTAGCAGTTTAGCGGTACCTAAATAAATAAATATAGAGTATATTATAATTTTCGAAAGCTCATAACAAGGCAAATTAAATAAAAAATAATATATAGAGTGTCCTGTTTAAAAAAAGAACATAAGTTTGAGTCATTTTTCGAAATAGACAGCTCCCAACGAAGAACCACTTTCGTCACTGCCATTCTACCTGAAAAACGAGACACGGGCGGTGGGTAAGTTCTCAATAGGTAGAACAAAACAAAATCAGGGTATCCGGTATATACCTCTACATTTAGATGAACAGTCTAATTTATAAAAGGTATTTCCAACGACCGCATAGTAAATACCCGGTATAATACCAGTAATATCATGTATACGAGTATATCTACAATATTTCTTATATATATATTGTAGATATTATATATTGGTATATTTCTTTTCCCGGTATTATACCGGGTATTTACTATGCAGTCGTCGGAAACTCCTTTTATTAAAATTAGGATGTTCATCTAAATCTACAGGTATATACCCAGATTTTATTTATCTACAAATTGGGTACTTACCCACCGCCCATCACTGACCCTTTTCAAATTTTCGATAAGTTATAAGATAATCGAGATACAAAGTTTATCGAAAAATACAAAAATTTCTACTAATTAAAAAAGTAAAAGAAAGAAAGAAGAAATAACTTTGAACTAAGAAGGTTAGGATAAATATGTGTGTAGCATATTTAGTGTCATAATAAGTAGAACAATGATGTGAAAACAGCATCTTTATATCTCTACTTATAAACTAGAAATCCCATAAAACACACAAAAATGGGACATCCTGTACATCTAGCAATCGCCAGTCAATATAGAAATAATTCACACACAATAGTCTAAAAAATGGAAGAAAAAAACAATATTGTCTTCATATTTGTGAAAAAATACATTTATTTATGTAATCGTAGCGACAAAAATAAAAAATAGAAATAGTGTGCATGATGCCTTTACAAAAATATCTGAAGAAATGGGGATTGACATCATTAAAGTTTAATTAGTATGTCATATTTCATGGTTTCACTTTTGTATAGAAGAAAATTGTCCCCAATAAACTTATTTCGATATCTAAAATAGGTAGTAGTTCTATATCCAAGAAATATTGTGACACCCTGTTTACGCTACAAGCCACACTTTTTTTAACTTGATTTAATATAAAATGGGCGGTTATATCAACATTTACAATTCGTTCTCCATCCTACTTCACACCATCTAAGTACTTTTAACATATTCCTTCGCACACTCTCACCCACAACTTAATTTGTCTACGTCAGCAAAATACAGCGAATGTATTTGTTACAAAAAACAGACATTTTTTATTTTACTGTATAATAAATTACTCACCATTCGATACTCTAGCTCGAATTCATCCTGCCACCTTTTGGCAACCCACGATGGGTCAAAATTTAGAGACACATTATTTAAGCTGGATGACAGATATTTATGCATTTTTTTGTTTATTTTTTGCTTTATTTACATAACACTTTAACTCGACTATTGTATTTTTCTCGCAAATAAACAAAACAAGTTTCTGCTAGGCTGACCAAATAGGAAATATCGGTGGAGAGTATCGGTGGAATGGGATTGGATATGGGGCTAAGATTTACGGTCATGCGCTAATACGTTGTGGACATTGTCCATTAATGACGTAGGGGCGATATGTTTTGTAGCCGTGTAGGTGGCTGGGCATTGATAAAGGGTGAAATGCAGGGAACCGTAACGGCACTTCGCTAACTAATAGTTGTATTACGTGTTTGGAGAATGATTGATTGGTTTGATGGGGTATGTATGGATATATTAAAGCAAACCAACATAGATTCAGAATGAAAAACTTTATTGGACTGTAATAATAACCTGTGTGTTAGAAAGTAGATAATGGAGCTGTATTATTAGCTAGGTATTCCAGTATTTATTAGAAATGTACTTCGGTTTTGCTTTAAACTTAATAGTTTATAGACTTTTTCCTAGTTAAAAGAAGTATAAGAAAAAATATAATGCTTTTTATAGCTTGTTGAAAAAGTTCGAGTTTTTCGTCACTGGGAGAGAAATCTTATAAAATAAAAAAGTTAATTTTCCTAAACACTACAGCTTTGCATCTAAACAGAAACCAGCAAAAATCAACAAGAAGAAAAAAGAAAAAAGTATTTAAAATATGTTTAAATTACGCTATCCAAGAATCCTTTAATTTTTAGCAGATATGTCTATTATAAACCATTGGGGTTCTGTTAAAATGACGTTACATGATGTCAAACTTCATATTACCAATTGCTACCTGATCACAATTACCTAATATGGTAAAACCAAAAACTTAAATTCTCTGTGTATAATTTTTTTGTTTGTTTTTAATTTTTACTTATGTTTATTAATGTTATGGGGTGTTCAAGATGAAAATAAGCAAATAAATAATCAAAGAAGCCATAGTCATACATTACTAACCTATGCCTGAGCAATGCATTTATTCATTTAGATTGGGGGTTAGAAAAGCTTCTTTGATTTTCCGTTTTTTCGCTACTCTGTGTCCTGTGTGCCAAGAATGCTGACAAATCTTAGATTTGCAAAAATCGCCCTTTTTAAATAATCTATATGTTCTTTAATTCGAACTTTTAATGGTCTAGATGTTTCATCATTATTAATATTTCTCACATTCACATGGTATATTGTAAATCACATTTTTTTATTTGTTGTTCAGTGTGCATTGGCTTAGTATGGGCTAAAATGGATCTAAGTAGATTTTGTGGTTTGAAGGATGTTCGTATGTTATTATTGTTTTCCTATCTCTATTTTTTCGGAAACATCTTGCATGTATGGAATTGAAGTTGTATATATTGTGTATTGTTGTCGGTGTGTGTATTTTTCTTTCCTATCTGTCTTTTTCTTGTTTATGTTTTGTATTTTGTTTCATGTTTTAATGAAACATGATTTTTCACAGTGGCGAAAAAGCCTGATTTTGTTCAGGGAACAAATCTGCCAGAAATTTGCCACTTTTGAGATGCAGCCGGTAGACATTATTTATTTTTTATAATGTTTACTTTATAAAGTGCATCCACACATAATATTTAGATTTTTGAAAAAAGCTTTTGTCACTCTCTGAATCGCAGTGTTCCTTATTAGACAATCCCGGATTTTCAACAGAAACATTACAAAAAAGTTTTATGTTTGAAAATACAACAAACAACATAAATTAAAATTGTTTTAGGAATCTTAATGTAAAGATGGCATGATTCATATTTACACTCATGGTATTACCGTCCAATTGTAAACAAAATCAAGTCATTAAAATTTGTAAACATACCGAGATGTTTACATTTGTCTGTTTGTGAATCTGACTTTTCACACATCATTTCTGTAAATTATTTACAGTGTCGTTTACAAGCTTTAAATTCAGACAGCAAAGGCGTTGATTCCCGAATGACCTAAGAAATTAATTTTTTTCCATAGCAACTGTTAAAATTGCCTTATATCTAAGGTGACCAACTATACTCGTTTACTGAGTTTTGTACTACTCTTTTTTCACAAACCGTACTCTTTTCAAATCCTGTACTCTGAAAGTAGTCATTTGTTTCAAATGGACCCTTCTAAATAGTAAAATTAAATGGAAAGAAGTTTCTTCAGCAATCGAATTTGTAATAAAGGAAGTAAAAGATATTGTTATTGACAATTTTCTTTTTGAAGAAATTCGAAGAGTAAATTTATATTTAAATGAAGAAAAATTGAAGAAATGGAACGATGAGAAAATAGAAATTGACAAAAGAATCTGGTAGATTCTTTTGTCCATCTACTAGATTTTTTTGTCAATTCTGTAGAAATCTTTCGGCATTTTAGTAGTAGAACATATCCCACATGAAAATTTAAAAGTTTTAATAGAAATTTCCTTATGTTGTCCAGGCACTAATGCTGCTGTTGAAAGGGTATTTTCACTGGGGAATGATTATTGGAGCAGTGAGAAGTTCGAACTTTCTGTAAAAACATTATGTGCCGTCTTAACAGTCAAATTTAATATGCAAACTGAAAGTTGTTTGGATGTGGCTACATTATTATTTTGTAGTCAACATCGTGAAGGGAAGAACAAATAATGAGATTGCAACAAAAACAGCGTATTGCTGCCCGTGCAGCATGTTTTATTTTAATGAGTGTGTTGAAGATAATTTAAATAAAAACAAAGAAAAAAGAAAAATACCAGTTAATTTGACCACTCTATTCTTCAAAAAATAAATAAATGAGAACTTTGACTTTGACTTGTGCCACATTTACCGACAACTGACCGGAAGACCGCGCAGAGCCGAGCCGCTTGTCTCATCGACGAGCGCCTCATTCCCACAACGCGTGGCTCGCCTAATCGCGCGCCAAACTCGCCAAGTCCCGCGTCGTGGGATGCCGGTTTTAGACGAACAACCTCATTTAGCAAAAAAAATCCACTTCGGAGAAAAATATGTTTTTAAAAGAAAATAAAGCTTTTATCGTTTTTTCTTCTTTTTTTTTTCACGTATGAAATTCTTGCAAAATGTACTCTTTTTGAACAAAAAATAGTTGGTCACCTTATTATATCTATCAAAAATCTATACTAATATATAAAATTCTTAAGTGACTGACATACTGATTAAGCACGATCCTGCTCAAATCACTCAACGTAAGAAGCTCAATTTTGGCATACAGGTTGATTCTAGGGTGTAGAGGTTCGATAAGAAGGGGTTTTTCGAAATTCCAGTTCCAAGAGGGTGAAACCACCCCTCAAATGTTACAATGTTTTTTATTTAAAAACGGTCAAATTTCCGATAAAACGCTTAAACACGTATATTTTATTTTGTTTTTTTACATATTTTAAGATTTTTTAAAAATCTATACAGGGTGTTTCGAAAAATCTGCTAATTGATTAATCGCGATCCTGCTTAAAGCGCTTGACGTAAAAAGCTGATTTTTGGAAAACAGATTGACTTTAGGGTGTAGAGGTTCGATAAGAAGGGATTTTTCGAAACTCGAATTCTAAGGGGGTGAAACTATCCCTCAAATATTAAAATATTTTTTATTTAAAAACCGGTGAGTTTTTCGGAAAAACTCTTAAACCCGTATATTTTATTTTGTTCTTTAACATATTTTAAGATTTTTTATAAATTTATACAGGGTGTTTCATAAAATATGACCATTGAGTAATCACGATTCTGCTTAAACTGCTTGACGTTTAAAGTTGATTTTTGGCAAACGGATTGACTGTGGGGTGTAGAGGTTCTATAATGAGGGGTTTCTCGAATCTCAAAATCCAAGAGGATGAAAACGCCCCTCAAATATTACAATATTTGTTATTTAAAAGACGGTTAGTCTTTCGGGAAAACGCTTGGACAACCATAAATTATGAAACTACCCCTCAAATATTACCAAGTTATATAATAATATCGCCATATTGTTTTTTCTCATGCTGACATAAATGTGAGAAAATTTTATCCAGTTTGTATGTTAATGGAAATTCTTGCTTTGCTTTATCATCACCATTGCAAATGATTAATTCACCGCGAACGAAATCGCTGGTATACGCTAGTACTAGATAAAATAGTACTTTAACCTCAGGGGTAGATTAAATGATACTTTAACAGCGAGGATAGGTTAAAAACTTTATTTCTTCTCGCACGTTTTTTAATTGCTTTTTTAATCCTTTTCATAAGTTATTCGGGATTTAAATGGAAGTAGTTTGGATATGGCGTTTGTCGCCTCAGCCTGAATATCTGTTGGTAATTTACTAATTTAGTTTTGAGCCATTTCTGCCTCCAATTCAATCAGCAATCGACACGAAAGAGAATTCAAAATATTGACTCAAAACTGACAACTAAAGAGGCAGCTTTATTTATTTGTCAAATTACATAGAAACCAACGCCAACCCAGCACAATATTTTTTCTACTCGTAATAAATCCCTTGAAATAATAATTTCAGAATATTTTTTAAAACGTAACTCGCTAAGGAAAAAAATATTGTTTTATACACGACGATAAAATTGCATTATCGTCTACCGAAATGATTAATAAAATACCTTATCGTTTTGTATAAAAATAACTAAAAGTGAAATGGATAAAAAAAAAGAGTTGGAGAATTATTTTTCGAGACCTATAAAATCAGATTTCTTTCCAGTTATCAAAAGCTTGCCAAATAATCTTTTGAATCGAAAAATTAAACACCACGACCATATAAGGAAGTCACTTGTCCTCAGGTGAGTCAGTCGACCATCGAACGGTGAAAGAGCATAGTGGGCGCCAGCCAAGCCGGTCGACCATCACAGACGCCCGATAGGTGCACGGGCTTCGTTTATTTCGTCGATGTGTGAATCAGCTGGTTTCAATGTCACTGTATTTTATATTGACTTAATATCCAACACATTTATAAAAGCAATCTAAACATCTTACAGATTTTCTGTATGTTTTAATTAAGGTTTTTGTTTAGATGTTTTTTTATATTTACTATATTGTACAACTATCAATAA